GAATTCTGACAAAATCCCACGTTACGGGAAAGGGGGGGGTGGTGTACCGGGGGGAGAGGGGGGGGTAGGTTACGCGTTACAGGGTAGAACTCGCTACGGGATCCGGAAACCCTTGGACATCAGTGTGCCTTAGAAAAAAAATCTGACACATCAGGGTAATACAATCTCTAAAAAAAACACCCTAGGCCATCAGTCTGACTATCAAAAACCACCCTGATAGTCAGGGTATCAGGGTGATTTACCCTGATAAAATTAGCCCTGATTCAGCTCTTGCACTTATACTGTGAAACCTTTATTGGTGGGACACCAACATGGTATGCGGCCACAAATTCAAGCCAGGCTGGGCACAACAAAATCAAGCTGGGCACAAAATCAAGTGGTTGCTATTTGGCACCTCATTTGTTTCTGCATAGGTAGGGTGCATTGGTGGGTACCTCACTGGAGGCTTCGTTGGACCCTTCAACAGATGGTTGCAAATACCAAGTAGATGATTAGTTGAAGTTTACATTCCTACTACCGGTATGAGTGAATGCACTAAGTTGTTGAATGCAACTAACAGCAGCCCACACTATCCAGGGACCAGAGCAGCATACAGCAGTTCCACCAGGAAGATACAATCCAATCTTTCTTTACATCATGCCCACCTCTTACTTGGCCCATCAGAGAGCAGCAGCTTCACCCACCTCTTTCTCACACCACCGCCATCCAAGTCCAATCACACTCCTAACGGTCGTCCAACTTACCTTGCAACACCCTGAGAAGCAGGGTGGAAAAAAGGACCAGACAGTTCCCACCACACACCCTCCTTCCACTCTCGTCTCTCCACCAGGTTAGCTGGCTGCTCTGTACTTCTGAATGCACCTTTCCTCCCACCTTCCTCGAATCCTGCCACCTTTCCGCCACCCCACAAGCACAGCAATCTGCCGCTGTGCAACAGGTCTCAGTGCCTTCTAAAGGCCTTGCTGCCACTGCCTTGCTCAACCACGCAGACCATGATCTTGCATCACGCAATGCCGCAATGCAGCCATTTTGCATCTGCTTTCCTTTTTTTTCACTCCTTTATTTTTCTCCTTTTGTTTTTCCAGCATGATCACCACACCAGGAGATCCGCGCTTTCTCTGGTCCACGCCGTCACCATCATCCCCCTCCAGCTGCTGCCAGCTGACGGAACGAGTGATGGCAGCACCCTTGCTTTAGCTGCTCCCATCATCCTCCTAGTTGGCTTCTTCACTGCAGTCGTAATGCACAGCCTTCCAATCATACCCGCCAGTGTAGTCACAGCTCGTGAGCTGAACACAGTGCAACTCGCCGCAGCAGGGATGGTCACGGTGGCGTCGCCTGTAGCACCGTCACAGCAGCTGACGTCACTTGCGCTGGTAGCTGTTGTGCTGAACGGGATCCCCGTGCTGGTGCAGCAGCTGTCAACGATGCTGGAAATCTCTTTCGCGTTGCTGCAGGCAGCTTCACTCATGACAGCATCATCGCAGCTGATGACATCAAGAATGGAAGAACCATCCTTGCTGTTAACAGCGTTGCAGTCAACAACATCGCTCACGTCGCTGCTACTTGTTGTGCTGTCAGCGACCATGGAGCTGATCTCCAAGCACCGTGCGTTGGAGCCATCGCTGCAAGTGCTGCTCTGCTCGGATTTGTTCGACAGAGAATCATCATCTGCAGCCGAGCTTGAGGAGGTCAGCATCACATGCACCGGCATTTGCTTCTTCTCACGGAGCTTCCATAATGAGAGAGCTTCAGAATAGGTCGGATAGTCGGTTACAGCCATGATAAAAGACAGTTGCTGAAGTTCAAGCTAGGAAAGTTAGCAAGCAAGCTGAGAAACACGAAGGTGTCAAAACTGATTTGTTGAAAGAGAGAGAGCAAAGATAACAAATGTAGACTTGAGATCATTGTGCTGGGGTTGCAGTTTCTACGTGAGACGGAGCACAAGGAATCGGGCATGGGAAGGTGGGTTTGTGTGAAGGGGGAACATGCCTGGGTACGGGCAGAATAATGTTTTGGATTCTTGGAATGAGCAGCTCTGATCATCTGGAACCTGCACTGGCCATGCTGCCAGGACCTAAACGACCTTACCGTGACGACGGATGAAGCGAAATTGCTGCCCGAAGTTGAGATTCTGGAGAAACGAGTCCCGCGGAGGCTACTAGGTTCGGAACCCTGACTGCCGCAGCGCCTCAAAAACGTCCTCGCCAAGCCTCCGCTTCCCCGCCCAACCTCCTCCCCTGAAACATCGTGGCTGTCCGGAACGGAAGGTGCGATTCGCTGAATGCATGCAAAGCGGATTCCTCAAATGTCGCAAGCCACATTCCCAAGGTAGCGTAAGGATTTGAGAAAGCGGCGGGCCCCATTCGGCGAGAAACGCGCGTGAGGACGAAGGTCGGGTTACTCTTCAGGCTGAAGATGTGCTGGCGAGAAGAGCGAATGGCTACATTGGAGTCTCTGGCGAATCTCGGGATTTAGGTCGAGGTTCTCTTGGGATCATAGCCCCACGAGCAGGCAGGTGGGCAAGTGCAAAATATTATAATTTTTAAACACACGAATTGTTTTTCAAAATTACGTATTTCGAAAGCGCAGCTGCTTGTAACGCATGTTTTGGCATCGTCGAAGCGCGCTAAACGCCCTTCTCCAACTACAAATCGTGGGTTGGAGCTCATTTCTCTCCACCCACGTCTCTCGTTTTCCAACGGCTCATGCAACTCTCCCACCCCCCGCCCCAACACTGACAGACATCATCGACACCGCTTGAACGAGAAGATCGATAGCTGGTAGTGATAGACATCAAGTAGCATGACGAATAGCTAGTACAATGATTGATACGCAGTATAGTAACATGTACTAGCACTTCGGTTTCCTAGCTCGAGGTGCATGTTGTAATTTGCCAGTTGAAATGATAACGATGCCAAATGATAAGTAAGCGAAAGCAAGCTTTCTAAATGGGATGTATGAAATCAAGATGTGAAGGGGATGAGGACTGTACCCTTTATAGTTGTTTATGTTACCTAACAAAAATGTTCAAATTAGACAGCACATGTAAAACTATTATGCATATAACTATTGGCACAGCACCTGATGATTCTTTTATTCCTATAGGTATTTGCCTATGCATTCTTACATTTTTTTTTTTTTTTTGCGAAGGCGAACAACAATAACGTTTCTAGCATGGCCTTACAAATGTTTTATCTCCGCGTGCACACCTCGTCCCCAATCCCTGTTCACCGCCATCCTTGCAATTCCAGTGACATAGGCCCCGGTTCTGCTGTTTTAGTCTCTGAAGTGATGACGTCATATGGACCAATGATTCTTTTCCAGCTGTATATCCCTGCATGCACGCAAACACCATCCCCTCATCTCGGCAATGCTCTCTTGCTTTACCTGCCCGCATGTTTTGATTATGCGTGTTACAAACTGACTTAAGAGCTTAAGAGATTAGCAGCCATGAGTGAGGTTTTAGGACTTAGGAGCTAGGAAACGAGCGAGGGAAACGAGATGGCCAAAAAGAGAGGGGTTGCACTAGAAAGAGTGGTACAAGATATAGGCAAGGCAAAGGGTACACCACCAGCAGTTGATATAACTAACCTAATACACTAGTAAGCTGTAGGCAGGTATAAGATATGCAATATAAATTAACACACCCCCGTAACTGCCTACGGCTATAGCTAGTGGTGTCTGGTAGCAGGTCGCCTGAAGAGCAGTTGCTGTAGCTGGGATACGCACAGAAACAGCGGTGGCTGATCGGCAGCACCTCTGACTGCCAGAACGGAGGGCGGAGGGCTAATTTGGAGGGCGTAGGCTGCCGGTGTTACACACCAACGGTTGGATAGGAGGAGGAAGCTGGTGGTGTACATAAGGCGGATGAGAGGAGGAGGAAAGGAGGAGGAAGACGCAGGAGAGGCGGCTGGAGAGGCGGCTGACTGATCATACCCGCCACCCTCACACCCCCTCCCTCTCCCCCCCACTGCAGCAGGGGCGGCAAGGGAAGAGAGGAGGAGGCGGTAGGTGCTGTAAGCACGTTCCCGCCACCTCCTCACCCTCCCCCCCACAGTAGCAGATGCGGAAGTGAGAGAGAGGCGGTGGGCGCTGAAGGTGCAGTGTTACGGGGGCCTAAGCACCCCGGTAGCCATTGGCGCGAGCCCCGCCATCTCCCTCCCGCAATGCTTACCGTAGAATAGCGGGGCAGCAGGTGCGGAGGCGAGGAGCGAGGTGGCGATGGCGGGGGCGCTGGCGAGTTCGCTGACGCGCTGGTGGACTCGCTGGCTTGTGCGCTGGTGCAGTCGCTGTCGCAACGGGCGCAGGCGATGGGCAGGACGGTCAGGGGCGATCTCGGCGCATTCGACGGTGGGGCAGCGCGACGGGTTCGCCGTCACTCCCGTCACGACGAGCTGGCGACGGGCGTCGGAGTGTGAACGGCTGGCGGGGATCTGGCGACGGGCGGCAGCCGACGGGACGGGCGACGGGCTGACGAGGCAGATGGCGGGACGTGGCTGGACGGGCGACGGGCTGCAGCAGGGCAGCGTGACGAGCTGATCGTCGCGGCGCTCACGATGCGCACTACGGGCTGCGCGACGGGATGCGCCACAACGAGGGCTAGTGGTGGGCCCATTAAGATAGGGTCCCAAGGTGGAACCCGCTTTGATACCATGTTACAAACTGACTTAGGAGCTTAGGAGATTAGCAGCCATGAGTGAGGTTTTAGGACTTAGGAGCTAGGAAACGAGCGAGGGAAAGGAGATGGCCAAAAAGAGAGGGGTTGCACTAGAAAGAGTGGTACAAGATATAGGCAAGGCAAAGGGTACACCACCAGCAGTTGATATAACTAACCTAATACACTAGTAAGCTGTAGGCAGGTATAAGATATGCAGTATAAATTAACAATGCGGTGCTAATTTGTTACAGCCCTTCCTCTGCTTCTGGCTTCCCGTGTGAATCACTCCTGGTATGCCTTTAGCCTTCCACCCATGGCAGCTACCAAGAATCTTCCAGCCCTACACGCCCTTGCGCTGCCGCTTGCTGTGCTGGTTCCAGTGCCGCTTGCGCTGGTTGATAAACCAGTTGTTCACTTGCCGTGAGTCCAGCCCCGTCTGCCCCATCAGCTGCAGCTTCTCCTGCTCCTGCCCTCCAGTAAGGCACACAGCAACACATTCAGGAGAAAAACACAGCAGAGAAAAACAGGATGAGTACCTAATCAAGTCTGGCATTGCTGGTACGATAGTTGTTGCTGGTTCATGCTTCCCCGTGATTCCATCTCGCCTCTTGCCTATCTTCCCATGCGCCAGCCCACCAGCTGCCTCATGCCAGCGGGTGACTGTTGAGTCGACTCAAAAGAGGAGGATTTTCAGTTGACTCAAGAGGTGGCCCTTCACTTGGCCCGTCACATGCATCACACACCTGCCCATATCACTTCACCACAAGCATGGTACACACACACCTGTCACAGTAACCACTCGGGTACAGCCAGCTGACATGCTCGGTACACGCACACCTGTCACTCCACTGCACACCTGCCACTCACCTGTCACCTGCTATCTCCTCCTCCTCACACTCTGCATCCTGGTTGACCAAGTGAAGCCTCACACACACACACGCACGCACGCACGCACGCACGCACGCATGCACGCACGCACGCACGCACGCACCACACGCACGCACACACAAACACACTCACAACCCTAAAACCCTAACCACATGCTGCACACTCACAGTGGGGTACGGCCAGTTGACATGCTCAGTCCACCAGCGCAGAAGCTTCCCCGTGGCTTCCTCGGGCAGCTTGCCTTTGGCATGCTTGGTCACATGCTCCGCACTCACCGTCCGCAGGAACCCCCCAAACCGCCCCCTCACTGCCCGCTCCACCTGCTCCACGCTCTCTATCTCCTCCTCCTCACAGTCTAATCCTTTCGAAATCTTCCCCTCACAGTCTGCATCCTGGTCTTCCTGAGCTGCATGATATGCCAGACTCGGGCTTGTGCTGTTGTCAGCCATGATGTCATCGTACATGTCCACTTGTTCTCCTTCGACAAAACCAACACTTCCTCTGCTGCCCATGGCACTGCTGGTGAAGGCGCCATCACCATCAGTGCTGCTGCCACTGCCGCTGCTGCTGCTGTTACACATCCCAAGGTTGACAGCAGCAGCAACAGCAACTGCACCATCAACATGAGCAGCGGCATCAGTAAAAGCTGCACCACCAGCATCAGCAGCATTAGCATCACCAAGATCAGCAGCAGCAGCAGCAGCAGCAGCAGCAGCAGCAGCAGCATCCTGCGCGAGGCCTTTTTCCGCGTCTGCAAGGAATGCCTCAGCAGCAGTGTGGGCTGCGAGCAGGCGAGAGCGGCATGCAGTGAGGGCTTCAGAAAGAGACGCCTGGAAGGAGGTGTGGGAAGGAAGGAGGAGGTAAGAATGGAATGAGGAGGTATAGGAACGAATGGCGAGGTGTGGGAAAGAATGAGGAGGTGTCGGAATGAATGGGGAGGTGTGAATATGATTGGGGAGGTGTGGGAAGGGATGATAAACGAATGAGCAGGTGAGTGAGGCACGCAGCGAGGGCTTTAGGGAGAGACGACTGGAAGGAGATAGTGGGGAAGGAAAGAGAAGGTGTGGAAAGATAGACACGCACCATGAGATCGTAAGAGACTTTTGAAGCGCCTTAAAAGAGAAAGCGTGGGAAGAAATAGCAGACACGCACCATGAGATCGTGAGCGTCAGCCAAGCCGTCCGCCTCGAGAGGTGCCCCTAAGCCTGCTTCCACTCCCACCGCACCCAACCCATTCGCGGCCCCTGATTCGCTGATAGGCGGGCTCTGATTCGCATCAAACCCCCCGTCCCCACCGGCTGGTGGGCTCAGGCCCTCCTCCTCACAGCTGCTTCCCTTGTCACGTCCATCCGCCCTGCCTTGTTTTAGATCATCCGTGCTGCTGGTGTGGGTGGACTTATCGGCGCTGGGATATTTCAGCTGCAGCGCAGCCACAGGATCAAAGCCATCAACGGCTGCCAGGAACTCGGGAGACGCCCCGATCTGATGGAGTGCAGTAGGGCAAGGGAAATGGGGAGAGTTGAGAGAGAAGGGTGAATGGAGGGGGGGATGGAAGTGGAGGGGCGGAGGAGGGTGGAGGCGCGAGGGAGAGTGGAGGGAAAAGAGGGGATGTGATCTGCGAGGAGGGAAGGATATCGATTTCTGAGGCGCCTCAAAAGGAGGGTAGGTTATCAGAATGTGCAGAATTGAGAAGGGACACGAGACGAGGGGACACTCGATGGAGCAAGCAGGCAGGCAGCAGGGTGCATGAGAGGCACACCTTGAGGCAAGCAGCGTAGGAGCGCAGCAGGGTTTGGAAGGCTGGCAGATTCAAAAGACGTTGCTTCAGATGCACGTCACATGCGTGCTCGCAGGCTGCTTCTGACTCAATCAGCGTGTGAGTCTCTTCCCCTGACAGTTTCTGCAGTTTCGGCAGTTTCGGCAGCTCCACTCCCAAGTGTCTCGGCACTTCCATCCGTCAGTGCGAGGGTTACAGCCCCACCTCTCTCCCTTTCACTTGCTCCTGACCTGCTCCTCGCTTGCTCCTCGCTTGCTCCTCGCTACTTCTCTTCCTTCTGTTTCCGCTCCTCTGGATGAGTGTTCCTGATCCGACTTTTGGCTCCATCGCCGTAATTGTGTCGTTTTGCCTGTTCTTGGAATTACGCAACTACGCCGCCGCGATGATCTCACCTCCTCTCAAAGCACTTCGACGACGACGGGAGTAAAAACTCGTGCTGCGAGTCGCGTCGCGACGCGACGTTTGTGTGGGAGCTACGCCACGGCGGCGACCTTTCGCGCCGTGGTCGTGCTGTGATGTGATTGGATGTAGGGTACTACCCGACCGTTGGGGGCAAGGGCCTGAGAAACGCGTGACGTCAGCGAGGAGTCATGGCATGGAGGACTCGGTGTATTCGGATCCAAAGGGATTGGGCGGAAGAAGTAGTTGCAGTGTATTTGCGAACTGTATACTACTGACCAGTCCTTAACCTACGAAGATAAGACACAACAATCTTACCCTAAGGCTTATGTACAATAAAGCCTTAGCATGTTCAAAGCACGGACCAGTTCACCACAAACAGGACAGAATTCGATTTAACCAATCATCCTCGTCAACATCCTTACACTTCAACATTTCCCCTTGATAAAACACTCTCCCGTCTAAAAATGTCTCCACATCGCTACGACATCGAAGCTCCTTCCGTGTGCAACCCTCAATATTCAGCCTAACCAGATTCTCAAACCTAGTGAGGAACACTGGAAGCGCCTCCAACTTCCAGCAGTCAATCAAATCCAATCTTCGTATTCCAGAAAAGTGTAACAAAGCTCCTGGAAGCTCCGTATCTTGAATATTCACCAGCTGCAGGGAGGTCAGGCTCGGCGGACATGTCATTCTACCAGGCCTACCCCGAGCCTGCACTTGGAGGTTCGTGATTCGAAGCGTATGTAGCGATACGAAGCGAGAGAGAGACCACAGGTAGCACGACTGGATATGGTAATGGTCAATTACCAAAGTGCGCAGCGATTGCAGAACGGTTAATGCGACATATTCGGCGGGTTTATACGCTTTAAAGAAATAGATTTTTGGGCAGAGGGAGAGAAGTTTGTTGTGGCTGCGGTTGTGTGCGCCGAGAAAATGGGTCAGGTTCGGAAGCTTTCCCAAGCCTTGCTTGCTGGTAAAGCCGAACCTGCCGCCGACCCTCCGCAGCTTCAGGACGCGGAGGCTCGGGAAGAGGCATACATGGTCGGGGATGTGCCGAGCCAAAGCAACGCCCTCCAAGCTGAGACGGCGGAGGTTTGGAAGGTGCCAGGTTTGCAGAGAGAGGAGCACCAAAGGGGAGGGTGGAGACGAGGAGTAAGGGAAGGAGGAACGTGTAGGGGGATAGTAGAGTGGAGGGCTGGTGTTACCGTAAGTGTCAGTGTGTGTTGCAGATACAACAGCTCGTAATGGGGTAGAGCAGATGGAGAGGGAGTGTAATGAGGGTGGAAATGGGGAGCGGTCCTGTAGCACTGCAAGTGCTCCTAGCGAGAGATCCAAGAGCGAGGATAAGTGAGGGATGACCTGATCAGGGTCTGAGGAGGCGAGGGGAAGGTGAAGGATGGTGAGGTGGGGAGCGAGGGGGAGGAGAGAGGGAGGCACGGAGGAACAGCTATGGAGAGAGATGTGGGTGAGGTGGGGGAAGGAGGGGAGGAGGGAGTGGAGAGAGTTGTGGAAGGTAGGGACATTATTACTGTTCTCTCGTTCATTGTCGTCCTCATTTGTCCGACTGCCACCGATGACCACATCACGACCAATGGAAACGCCGGTTCCAACAGACACTGCAGCACCAGCACCCGCGCCAGCACGAGCCCTACCAAAACGCCCCGTTTCAGTGCCTCCATGTCGATCCCCAGCAGCAGCAGAAAGGGGAGGTCGGGGGTTGAGAACTGGAGAGTGGAGAGAGAGCGAGGAGAGGTGCGAGAGGGTGTGCAGGGAAGGTGGGGGCACGAGGGGCAGGGAGGAGGAGAGGTGCAGCGAGCGGAGAGAGTGGTGCAGACCGGTGAAGATGTCTGGAGGGAGGACGAGAAGCTGCTGCCTCTGTTGCTGATGCTGCCTCTGGTGATGGTGTTGCTGCTGCTCCACCAGGGGGTGCTGGTCCGATGGAGATGACTGAAGGCGAGTGAGAGCTTCCCTGACTGTTGCCTCGGGGCACGGAACCAAGTCCAGGCGCAGGCTCGTGAGCGAGGAGAGGTGCTGGAAGGGACTGGGCGAGCACAGGGCTGCTGGGAAGCTCAGGGTTCGAGAGATACTCACGGCTGCTGGGACGCTCAGGGTTTGTGAGACACTCGAGGAAGCTGGGACGCTCAGAGCTGCTGCTGGCATGGCCAGGTGTTCGGCTGAAAGAGGAAGGTGTTGAAAGAGATCGGGTGAGGTTGAGGTGTTTTGTGGGTGTGGATGGGGAGAGAGGGCGATGGGGAGTGTGAGAGAGAGGGAGGTGAGGGAGCGGAGGTGGAGGAGGAGGGAGGGAGTGAGGTGGAAGAGCGGAGCAGAGAGTTGGGTGAGGGTGGAGAGGAGGGGGAGGAGGGAAGGGGAGGGGGAGAAGAAGAGGTATGAGTGCGTTGCTTGGAAGTTGAGCGAGCGGAGGTTCGGACATTTCCGAAGCAAACTCTCCAGGCTTAATGAGAGGTCCAGAACGGTGGACTGTACTCCGTTTACTGTGACTGGGACGCTGTCACACGTGCTCGTTTGCTGCTCCTTCTTCCTCTCCCTCCCCGCCTCTCTCTTCCTCTCTGCCCTCTTCCTCTCCCTCTTATCCCTCTTGCTCTCCCTTTGCTTCCCGCCCTCCCTCTCCTCCTTCCTCTCCTCTTCTCTTCCACCCTCCTTCCGCCCCATTCCCTCAATCCCTCTCTCTGCATCCCCATCCTCCCCTCCACCCCCTTCCACTATTCCCCCAAACCCCCCATCCTCTTCCCCATTCCTTCCCAGCCCTCTATCCCCCATTCCCTCTACCCCATTTCCCCTGCCTCTCTGCATGCAGTCTAATTGTATGTGAAGAGTGCGTAGGTGAGGGCACATGGAGGGGAGGGAGGAGGAGAGGAGGGAAGTGAGGTGAGAAGGAGTGGTGAGTGAGGGAGGGAGGGGGAGGAGGAGGGATGTGAGGTTTGGGTAGGCGGAGAGAAGGAGGGGGAGGCGGTGGAGTGACCAGGTTGGGTGGGAGGGGAGATGAAGGGGTATAGCCGAGGAGAAGAGGGGGAGTGGGAGGATGGAAGGGAGAGGGCGGGAAGAGAGGCAGGGATGAGGTGGAGGGATGAGCGAGGAGGCATCTGTATGCGAAATTCTGGTTATAATCCTTTGGCTTCTGCTGCTGCTGCCGCCGCCGCCGCGGCCGCTGCGGCTGCTGCTGCTGCTACTGCTGCTGCTACTAGGGGGACTGTTGCTGCCAGCTGTGTTTCTACCCCAGTCACTATGTGTTACAATGCCACGCGATTCCGTACGACCTTTGTCAAAAGGATGGCATGATTGTAGGAGATTAATATCGTCCAGAAACCAAGGCGTTGGACCTTGCGAACGGAGGCTGACAGAATTCGGGACGGAGGTTGACGGAACGGAAACTGAGGCTGACGGAACTGAACCGAACCTTGACGAGTTACACGTTACACCCGGCTCCCACGGGTTCATGAAACTGCAGCTGCTCACGTCGCGGAAAAACGGCTTCCACGTCAGCGTTTCTAGGCAGAACACGAAAGAGAAGTGCGACGTAGATTCTCGGAAGGTTCGGTGCCAGAGGCGGCAGACGAGGGAGGCGGAGATGACGTCACGCGGGTCGGAGAGGTGACGTAAGACGCCAGCGAGGCAGTCGCGAGTGAGGCGAGAAATCGGTGAGGAGGCATTGGGAATGGTGGGGGTATTACTAAAAATGCCGTCTTTATACACAATGCCTTCATTATTTACACCGACAGGAGTAGTGAGACCGTCAGGATTATGTGCAACGCTCGAACCGGCACGAGTGTTCATGTCGGTATGAGAGCGGAAGTGCTTACACGGGAAGAGGAATTTCGAGGCGCAAGACGATGATTGTAGGATGATTTCAGTCATTCAGCCTGACTTACCGTATGGATGCTCCTAAACAAGGCACAGAGGAGCCGCAGCAGCAGCTCATGAAGCAGCACTCGGGCTGCTGGTAGGGCCTGGGCCTCGCTACTAGCCAAGCGAAATGCTACTTGCGCCGAGCCCCAACTGAAAAAACCTGATGAATGACACAGGAACCGAAACCGAATTGAAAAAAGGAATGCGTCACAGGAATTCTCACCTGTCGGCGCGTGCGATACATTTCTGACAGTATCAGCGAAACTGGGCAAGTTACGTACCCAGTTACCCTTCCCGCTCAATCGTTGCGGTTCCAACAGTTCTGTTTATGAAACTGGAAGAAATCTGTTTCGACACGGGAAACCACAAGCGACCGAGAGACGAAAACAGAAGCCACTGGTTCTAGGGTACGAGGCAATACCTGTTCGTGAAACTGAACAAGCCCTTGAAACTGCTCTCATCCTCCTGCCACGCATATTCATTCACCTGCTTCAAACCAACCGTTCGCAACCTCCCGTGCTAGTGAGAGCTGCTAGTGTCTAGTAGTCTTCTCCAGTCTCGTATCTTCTCAGTAAGAACGAGACCCGCGAGGCAAGATTTAGTTTTTCTCTAGGTCTTGTGCTTCGTGCAATTGCGACGCGTGCGCTTCCGCGTCGTGCACTTGCGACGCGTGCATGGACATGGCCACGTCGTTCGCTTTGCGCTTCCCGGCGACCGACACGTGGCACGGCTTGGCGCGCTTGCCGCGATGGTCGGGTCGGCGACGCTGCCCATCGCACGGTCGCACGTTTCCGTCGCCAGTCAATCGCGCAATTAGTAACGGAGTATACTTTCGCGCAGACCCTCCGCTCTCCCCGCAAACGATTACGCGCCAGGTTCCCGCGTCGTCGCTTACCCGCCCAGCACGTCCGCAACTTGCGCCATCACTCCCGCCGATCGCGCCGTCTCTCCCGCCCGCACGCGTTATTGGGGGATCAGCGCAGCGAGCCCGACGCGCGCTGAGCTCCGTTCCGCTTGCGCGGAGCTACGGGGCTTTGGGGGACGCCGTTTTAGGCGCGCGGGAAGCTGGCGGACGGTTGTTGCGCGGATTGGGGAATCCTTCGAGGCAGCAGTGCCGCGCGATCGCTGGTACGGGGGGCGAGGGGGGTGGGAAATGGGTGGAAGGGAGCGCAAAGATGTTAGGAGGGGTATAACAGGGGAAATGAGGGGTGAAGAGAAGTAAGGAGGGATGAAGATGGGGGCTCACGTCAATCGTGAGGTAGCAGGGTAAGGGGAGAGCACGGGGTGGGTGGATCGGGGAAGGGGGTGAGCAGCCGAGAGGAGGAAGTGCAGGAGCATGTGGAAGTGGTGTGGGCGGGGCATGCAGGATAGAACGTGAAAGGAGGGCGAGCAATACGGCGTCGTGGTGGTGGTGGTGGGACGGGGACGGGCAGAACACCCGTGATGTGAAGCTCATCCTGCTTCTCCCCTAAACCCTTCACCCATTCCCTGGCGGCCCGTCATTCTCAGCGGTGGAGGAGGCCGAGAAGTACGGCGTGATAGTGACATGACAGGGACGGGGCACGTGGGGTGGATTATGAAAGAGCATCCTGCTTCCCCAATTCTCCTCCCTTCCAATTCAACCCTCCCAGACGGCCCAGCATTCCCAGCGGTGGAGGAGGGCGAGCAGTACGACGTGATAGTGATAGGGGCGGGGCATGCGGGGTGCAAAGCTCAGCTCAACCCCTTGCTTCCTGCATCTCGCCCCCTCCTCCTTCCACCGCAGGTGGCCCAGCATTCCCAGCGGTGGAGGAGGGCGAGCAGTACGACGTGATAGTGATAGGGGCGGGGCACGCGGGGTGCGAGGCAGCACTGGCATCCGCCAGGCTGGGAGCCAGAACGCTGCTGCTCACTCTCTCCCTCGACAAGATCGCCTGGCAGGTGGGTGGGTGGGAGGGTGGATTCAAGGGTTTTAAACTGAGCTGGGTTCAAGGTAAATCAAGAATGCGAGGCAGCACTGGCGTCCGCCAGGCTGGGCGCCAGAACGCTGCTGCTCACGCTGTCCCTTGACAAGATAGCATGGCAGGTGGGTGGGTGGGCTTGTTGGTCAATGGACAGCTAGTGGGTGGATGGGTGGGTGGGTTCAAGGGTCCAAGCTGTGTTAGGGGTGCGAGGCAGCACTGGCATCGGCCAGGCTGGGTGGGTGGGTTGGTGGATTGGATTCAAGGGTTGGTGGATTCAAACTGAGCTGGGTTCAAGGTAAATCAAGAATGCGAGGCAGCACTGGCGTCCGCCAGGCTGGGCGCCAGAACGCTGCTACTCACGCTTTCCCTTGACAAGATAGCATGGCAGGTGGGATGGTCAATGGACGGCAGGGTGGGATGGTCAATGGACGGCAGGTGGGTGGGTGGGATGGTCAATGGACGGCAGGTGGGTGGGTGGGATGGTCAATGGACGGCAGGTGGGTGGGTGGGATGGTCAATGGACGGCAGGTGGGTGGGTGGGATGGTCAATGGACGGCAGGTGGGTGGGTGGGATGGTCAATGGACGGCAGGTGGGTGGGTGGGATGGTCAATGGACGGCAGGTGGGTGGGTGGGATGGTCAATGGACGGCAGGTGGGTGGGTGGGATGGTCAATGGACGGCAGGTGGGTGGGTGGGATGGTCAATGGACGGCAGGTGGGTGGGTGGGATGGTCAATGGACGGCAGGTGGGTGGGTGGGATGGTCAATGGACGGCAGGTGGGTGGGTGGGATGGTCAATGGACGGCAGGTGGGTGGGTGGGATGGTCAATGGACGGCAGGTGGGTGGGTGGGATGGTCAATGGACGGCAGGTGGGTGGGTGGGATGGTCAATGGACGGCAGGTGGGTGGGTGGGATGGTCAATGGACGGCAGGTGGGTGGGTGGGATGGTCAATGGACGGCAGGTGGGTGGGTGGGATGGTCAATGGACGGCAGGTGGGTGGGTGGGATGGTCAATGGACGGCAGGTGGGTGGGTGGGATGGTCAATGGACGGCAGGTGGGTGGGTGGGATGGTCAATGGACGGCAGGTGGGTGGGTGGGATGGTCAATGGACGGCAGGTGGGTGGGTGGGATGGTCAATGGACGGCAGGTGGGTGGGTGGGATGGTCAATGGACGGCAGGTGGGTGGGTGGGATGGTCAATGGACGGCAGGTGGGTGGGTGGGATGGTCAATGGACGGCAGGTGGGTGGGTGGGATGGTCAATGGACGGCAGGTGGGTGGGTGGGATGGTCAATGGACGGCAGGTGGGTGGGTGGGATGGTCAATGGACGGCAGGTGGGTGGGTGGGATGGTCAATGGACGGCAGGTGGGTGGGTGGGATGGTCAATGGACGGCAGGTGGGTGGGTGGGATGGTCAATGGACGGCAGGTGGGTGGGTGGGATGGTCAATGGACGGCAGGTGGGTGGGTGGGATGGTCAATGGACGGCAGGTGGGTGGGTGGGATGGTCAATGGACGGCAGGTGGGTGGGTGGGATGGTCAATGGACGGCAGGTGGGTGGGTGGGATGGTCAATGGACGGCAGGTGGGTGGGTGGGATGGTCAATGGACGGCAGGTGGGTGGGTGGGATGGTCAATGGACGGCAGGTGGGTGGGTGGGATGGTCAATGGACGGCAGGTGGGTGGGTGGGATGGTCAATGGACGGCAGGTGGGTGGGTGGGATGGTCAATGGACGGCAGGTGGGTGGGTGGGATGGTCAATGGACGGCAGGTGGGTGGGTGGGATGGTCAATGGACGGCAGGTGGGTGGGTGGGATGGTCAATGGACGGCAGGTGGGTGGGTGGGATGGTCAATGGACGGCAGGTGGGTGGGTGGGATGGTCAATGGACGGCAGGTGGGTGGGTGGGATGGTCAATGGACGGCAGGTGGGTGGGTGGGATGGTCAATGGACGGCAGGTGGGTGGGTGGGATGGTCAATGGACGGCAGGTGGGTGGGTGGGATGGTCAATGGACGGCAGGTGGGTGGGTGGGATGGTCAATGGACGGCAGGTGGGTGGGTGGGATGGTCAATGGACGGCAGGTGGGTGGGTGGGATGGTCAATGGACGGCAGGTGGGTGGGTGGGATGGTCAATGGACGGCAGGTGGGTGGGTGGGATGGTCAATGGACGGCAGGTGGGTGGGTGGGATGGTCAATGGACGGCAGGTGGGTGGGTGGGATGGTCAATGGACGGCAGGTGGGTGGGTGGGATGGTCAATGGACGGCAGGTGGGTGGGTGGGATGGTCAATGGACGGCAGGTGGGTGGGTGGGATGGTCAATGGACGGCAGGTGGGTGGGTGGGATGGTCAATGGACGGCAGGTGGGTGGGTGGGATGGTCAATGGACGGCAGGTGGGTGGGTGGGATGGTCAATGGACGGCAGGTGGGTGGGTGGGATGGTCAATGGACGGCAGGTGGGTGGGTGGGATGGTCAATGGACGGCAGGTGGGTGGGTGGGATGGTCAATGGACGGCAGGTGGGTGGGTGGGATGGTCAATGGACGGCAGGTGGGTGGGTGGGATGGTCAATGGACGGCAGGTGGGTGGGTGGGATGGTCAATGGACGGCAGGTGGGTGGGTGGGATGGTCAATGGACGGCAGGTGGGTGGGTGGGATGGTCAATGGACGGCAGGTGGGTGGGTGGGATGGTCAATGGACGGCAGGTGGGTGGGTGGGATGGTCAATGGACGGCAGGTGGGTGGGTGGGATGGTCAATGGACGGCAGGTGGGTGGGTGGGATGGTCAATGGACGGCAGGTGGGTGGGTGGGATGGTCAATGGACGGCAGGTGGGTGGGTGGGATGGTCAATGGACGGCAGGTGGGTGGGTGGGATGGTCAATGGACGGCAGGTGGGTGGGTGGGATGGTCAATGGACGGCAGGTGGGTGGGTGGGATGGTCAATGGACGGCAGGTGGGTGGGTGGGATGGTCAATGGACGGCAGGTGGGTGGGTGGGATGGTCAATGGACGGCAGGTGGGTGGGTGGGATGGTCAATGGACGGCAGGTGGGTGGGTGGGATGGTCAATGGACGGCAGGTGGGTGGGTGGGATGGTCAATGGACGGCAGGTGGGTGGGTGGGATGGTCAATGGACGGCAGGTGGGTGGGTGGGATGGTCAATGGACGGCAGGTGGGTGGGTGGGATGGTCAATGGACGGCAGGTGGGTGGGTGGGATGGTCAATGGACGGCAGGTGGGTGGGTGGGATGGTCAATGGACGGCAGGTGGGTGGGTGGGATGGTCAATGGACGGCAGGTGGGTGGGTGGGATGGTCAATGGACGGCAGGTGGGTGGGTGGGATGGTCAATGGACGGCAGGTGGGTGGGTGGGATGGTCAATGGACGGCAGGTGGGTGGGTGGGATGGTCAATGGACGGCAGGTGGGTGGGTGGGATGGTCAATGGACGGCAGGTGGGTGGGTGGGATGGTCAATGGACGGCAGGTGGGTGGGTGGGATGGTCAATGGACGGCAGGTGGGTGGGTGGGATGGTCAATGGACGGCAGGTGGGTGGGTGGGATGGTCAATGGACGGCAGGTGGGTGGGTGGGATGGTCAATGGACGGCAGGTGGGTGGGTGGGATGGTCAATGGACGGCAGGTGGGTGGGTGGGATGGTCAATGGACGGCAGGTGGGTGGGTGGGATGGTCAATGGACGGCAGGTGGGTGGGTGGGATGGTCAATGGACGGCAGGTGGGTGGGTGGGATGGTCAATGGACGGCAGGTGGGTGGGTGGGATGGTCAATGGACGGCAGGTGGGTGGGTGGGATGGTCAATGGACGGCAGGTGGGTGGGTGGGATGGTCAATGGACGGCAGGTGGGTGGGTGGGATGGTCAATGGACGGCAGGTGGGTGGGTGGGATGGTCAATGGACGGCAGGTGGGTGGGTGGGATGGTCAATGGACGGCAGGTGGGTGGGTGGGATGGTCAATGGACGGCAGGTGGGTGGGTGGGATGGTCAATGGACGGCAGGTGGGTGGGTGGGATGGTCAATGGACGGCAGGTGGGTGGGTGGGATGGTCAATGGACGGCAGGTGGGTGGGTGGGATGGTCAATGGACGGCAGGTGGGTGGGTGGGATGGTCAATGGACGGCAGGTGGGTGGGTGGGATGGTCAATGGACGGCAGGTGGGTGGGTGGGATGGTCAATGGACGGCAGGTGGGTGGGTGGGATGGTCAATGGACGGCAGGTGGGTGGGTGGGATGGTCAATGGACGGCAGGTGGGTGGGTGGGATGGTCAATGGACGGCAGGTGGGTGGGTGGGATGGTCAATGGACGGCAGGTGGGTGGGTGGGATGGTCAATGGACGGCAGGTGGGTGGGTGGGATGGTCAATGGACGGCAGGTGGGTGGGTGGGATGGTCAATGGACGGCAGGTGGGTGGGTGGGATGGTCAATGGACGGCAGGTGGGTGGGTGGGATGGTCAATGGACGGCAGGTGGGTGGGTGGGATGGTCAATGGACGGCAGGTGGGTGGGTGGGATGGTCAATGGACGGCAGGTGGGTGGGTGGGATGGTCAATGGACGGCAGGTGGGTGGGTGGGATGGTCAATGGACGGCAGGTGGGTGGGTGGGATGGTCAATGGACGGCAGGTGGGTGGGTGGGATGGTCAATGGACGGCAGGTGGGTGGGTGGGATGGTCAATGGACGGCAGGTGGGTGGGTGGGATGGTCAATGGACGGCAGGTGGGTGGGTGGGATGGTCAATGGACGGCAGGTGGGTGGGTGGGATGGTCAATGGACGGCAGGTGGGTGGGTGGGATGGTCAATGGACGGCAGGTGGGTGGGTGGGATGGTCAATGGACGGCAGGTGGGTGGGTGGGATGGTCAATGGACGGCAGGTGGGTGGGTGGGATGGTCAATGGACGGCAGGTGGGTGGGTGGGATGGTCAATGGACGGCAGGTGGGTGGGTGGGATGGTCAATGGACGGCAGGTGGGTGGGTGGGATGGTCAATGGACGGCAGGTGGGTGGGTGGGATGGTCAATGGACGGCAGGTGGGTGGGTGGGATGGTCAATGGACGGCAGGTGGGTGGGTGGGATGGTCAATGGACGGCAGGTGGGTGGGTGGGATGGTCAATGGACGGCAGGTGGGTGGGTGGGATGGTCAATGGACGGCAGGTGGGTGGGTGGGATGGTCAATGGACGGCAGGTGGGTGGGTGGGATGGTCAATGGACGGCAGGTGGGTGGGTGGGATGGTCAATGGACGGCAGGTGGGTGGGTGGGATGGTCAATGGACGGCAGGTGGGTGGGTGGGATGGTCAATGGACGGCAGGTGGGTGGGTGGGATGGTCAATGGACGGCAGGTGGGTGGGTGGGATGGTCAATGGACGGCAGGTGGGTGGGTGGGATGGTCAATGGACGGCAGGTGGGTGGGTGGGATGGTCAATGGACGGCAGGTGGGTGGGTGGGATGGTCAATGGACGGCAGGTGGGTGGGTGGGATGGTCAATGGACGGCAGGTGGGTGGGTGGGATGGTCAATGGACGGCAGGTGGGTGGGTGGGATGGTCAATGGACGGCAGGTGGGTGGGTGGGATGGTCAATGGACGGCAGGTGGGTGGGTGGGATGGTCAATGGACGGCAGGTGGGTGGGTGGGATGGTCAATGGACGGCAGGTGGGTGGGTGGGATGGTCAATGGACGGCAGGTGGGTGGGTGGGATGGTCAATGGACGGCAGGTGGGTGGGTGGGATGGTCAATGGACGGCAGGTGGGTGGGTGGGATGGTCAATGGACGGCAGGTGGGTGGGTGGGATGGTCAATGGACGGCAGGTGGGTGGGTGGGATGGTCAATGGACGGCAGGTGGGTGGGTGGGATGGTCAATGGACGGCAGGTGGGTGGGTGGGATGGTCAATGGACGGCAGGTGGGTGGGTGGGATGGTCAATGGACGGCAGGTGGGTGGGTGGGATGGTCAATGGACGGCAGGTGGGTGGGTGGGATGGTCAATGGACGGCAGGTGGGTGGGTGGGATGGTCAATGGACGGCAGGTGGGTGGGTGGGATGGTCAATGGACGGCAGGTGGGTGGGTGGGATGGTCAATGGACGGCAGGTGGGTGGGTGGGATGGTCAATGGACGGCAGGTGGGTGGGTGGGATGGTCAATGGACGGCAGGTGGGTGGGTGGGATGGTCAATGGACGGCAGGTGGGTGGGTGGGATGGTCAATGGACGGCAGGTGGGTGGGTGGGATGGTCAATGGACGGCAGGTGGGTGGGTGGGATGGTCAATGGACGGCAGGTGGGTGGGTGGGATGGTCAATGGACGGCAGGTGGGTGGGTGGGATGGTCAATGGACGGCAGGTGGGTGGGTGGGATGGTCAATGGACGGCAGGTGGGTGGGTGGGATGGTCAATGGACGGCAGGTGGGTGGGTGGGATGGTCAATGGACGGCAGGTGGGTGGGTGGGATGGTCAATGGACGGCAGGTGGGTGGGTGGGATGGTCAATGGACGGCAGGTGGGTGGGTGGGATGGTCAATGGACGGCAGGTGGGTGGGTGGGATGGTCAATGGACGGCAGGTGGGTGGGTGGGATGGTCAATGGACGGCAGGTGGGTGGGTGGGATGGTCAATGGACGGCAGGTGGGTGGGTGGGATGGTCAATGGACGGCAGGTGGGTGGGTGGGATGGTCAATGGACGGCAGGTGGGTGGGTGGGATGGTCAATGGACGGCAGGTGGGTGGGTGGGATGGTCAATGGACGGCAGGTGGGTGGGTGGGATGGTCAATGGACGGCAGGTGGGTGGGTGGGATGGTCAATGGACGGCAGGTGGGTGGGTGGGATGGTCAATGGACGGCAGGTGGGTGGGTGGGATGGTCAATGGACGGCAGGTGGGTGGGTGGGATGGTCAATGGACGGCAGGTGGGTGGGTGGGATGGTCAATGGACGGCAGGTGGGTGGGTGGGATGGTCAATGGACGGCAGGTGGGTGGGTGGGATGGTCAATGGACGGCAGGTGGGTGGGTGGGATGGTCAATGGACGGCAGGTGGGTGGGTGGGATGGTCAATGGACGGCAGGTGGGTGGGTGGGATGGTCAATGGACGGCAGGTGGGTGGGTGGGATGGTCAATGGACGGCAGGTGGGTGGGTGGGATGGTCAATGGACGGCAGGTGGGTGGGTGGGATGGTCAATGGACGGCAGGTGGGTGGGTGGGATGGTCAATGGACGGCAGGTGGGTGGGTGGGATGGTCAATGGACGGCAGGTGGGTGGGTGGGATGGTCAATGGACGGCAGGTGGGTGGGTGGGATGGTCAATGGACGGCAGGTGGGTGGGTGGGATGGTCAATGGACGGCAGGTGGGTGGGTGGGATGGTCAATGGACGGCAGGTGGGTGGGTGGGATGGTCAATGGACGGCAGGTGGGTGGGTGGGATGGTCAATGGACGGCAGGTGGGTGGGTGGGATGGTCAATGGACGGCAGGTGGGTGGGTGGGATGGTCAATGGACGGCAGGTGGGTGGGTGGGATGGTCAATGGACGGCAGGTGGGTGGGTGGGATGGTCAATGGACGGCAGGTGGGTGGGTGGGATGGTCAATGGACGGCAGGTGGGTGGGTGGGATGGTCAATGGACGGCAGGTGGGTGGGTGGGATGGTCAATGGACGGCAGGTGGGTGGGTGGGATGGTCAATGGACGGCAGGTGGGTGGGTGGGATGGTCAATGGACGGCAGGTGGGTGGGTGGGATGGTCAATGGACGGCAGGTGGGTGGGTGGGATGGTCAATGGACGGCAGGTGGGTGGGTGGGATGGTCAATGGACGGCAGGTGGGTGGGTGGGATGGTCAATGGACGGCAGGTGGGTGGGTGGGATGGTCAATGGACGGCAGGTGGGTGGGTGGGATGGTCAATGGACGGCAGGTGGGTGGGTGGGATGGTCAATGGACGGCAGGTGGGTGGGTGGGATGGTCAATGGACGGCAGGTGGGTGGGTGGGATGGTCAATGGACGGCAGGTGGGTGGGTGGGATGGTCAATGGACGGCAGGTGGGTGGGTGGGATGGTCAATGGACGGCAGGTGGGTGGGTGGGATGGTCAATGGACGGCAGGTGGGTGGGTGGGATGGTCAATGGACGGCAGGTGGGTGGGTGGGATGGTCAATGGACGGCAGGTGGGTGGGTGGGATGGTCAATGGACGGCAGGTGGGTGGGTGGGATGGTCAATGGACGGCAGGTGGGTGGGTGGGATGGTCAATGGACGGCAGGTGGGTGGGTGGGATGGTCAATGGACGGCAGGTGGGTGGGTGGGATGGTCAATGGACGGCAGGTGGGTGGGTGGGATGGTCAATGGACGGCAGGTGGGTGGGTGGGATGGTCAATGGACGGCAGGTGGGTGGGTGGGATGGTCAATGGACGGCAGGTGGGTGGGTGGGATGGTCAATGGACGGCAGGTGGGTGGGTGGGATGGTCAATGGACGGCAGGTGGGTGGGTGGGATGGTCAATGGACGGCAGGTGGGTGGGTGGGATGGTCAATGGACGGCAGGTGGGTGGGTGGGATGGTCAATGGACGGCAGGTGGGTGGGTGGGATGGTCAATGGACGGCAGGTGGGTGGGTGGGATGGTCAATGGACGGCAGGTGGGTGGGTGGGATGGTCAATGGACGGCAGGTGGGTGGGTGGGATGGTCAATGGACGGCAGGTGGGTGGGTGGGATGGTCAATGGACGGCAGGTGGGTGGGTGGGATGGTCAATGGACGGCAGGTGGGTGGGTGGGATGGTCAATGGACGGCAGGTGGGTGGGTGGGATGGTCAATGGACGGCAGGTGGGTGGGTGGGATGGTCAATGGACGGCAGGTGGGTGGGTGGGATGGTCAATGGACGGCAGGTGGGTGGGTGGGATGGTCAATGGACGGCAGGTGGGTGGGTGGGATGGTCAATGGACGGCAGGTGGGTGGGTGGGATGGTCAATGGACGGCAGGTGGGTGGGTGGGATGGTCAATGGACGGCAGGTGGGTGGGTGGGATGGTCAATGGACGGCAGGTGGGTGGGTGGGATGGTCAATGGACGGCAGGTGGGTGGGTGGGATGGTCAATGGACGGCAGGTGGGTGGGTGGGATGGTCAATGGACGGCAGGTGGGTGGGTGGGATGGTCAATGGACGGCAGGTGGGTGGGTGGGATGGTCAATGGACGGCAGGTGGGTGGGTGGGATGGTCAATGGACGGCAGGTGGGTGGGTGGGATGGCAATGGACGGCAGGTGGGTGGGTGGGATGGTCAATGGACGGCAGGTGGGTGGGTGGGATGGTCAATGGACGGCAGGTGGGTGGGTGGGATGGTCAATGGACGGCAGGTGGGTGGGTGGGATGGTCAATGGACGGCAGGTGGGTGGGTGGGATGGTCAATGGACGGCAGGTGGGTGGGTGGGATGGTCAATGGACGGCAGGTGGGTGGGTGGGATGGTCAATGGACGGCAGGTGGGTGGGTGGGATGGTCAATGGACGGCAGGTGGGTGGGTGGGATGGTCAATGGACGGCAGGTGGGTGGGTGGGATGGTCAATGGACGGCAGGTGGGTGGGTGGGATGGTCAATGGACGGCAGGTGGGTGGGTGGGATGGTCAATGGACGGCAGGTGGGTGGGTGGGATGGTCAATGGACGGCAGGTGGGTGGGTGGGATGGTCAATGGACGGCAGGTGGGTGGGTGGGATGGTCAATGGACGGCAGGTGGGTGGGTGGGATGGTCAATGGACGGCAGGTGGGTGGGTGGGATGGTCAATGGACGGCAGGTGGGTGGGTGGGATGGTCAATGGACGGCAGGTGGGTGGGTGGGATGGTCAATGGACGGCAGGTGGGTGGGTGGGATGGTCAATGGACGGCAGGTGGGTGGGTGGGATGGTCAATGGACGGCAGGTGGGTGGGTGGGATGGTCAATGGACGGCAGGTGGGTGGGTGGGATGGTCAATGGACGGCAGGTGGGTGGGTGGGATGGTCAATGGACGGCAGGTGGGTGGGTGGGATGGTCAATGGACGGCAGGTGGGTGGGTGGGATGGTCAATGGACGGCAGGTGGGTGGGTGGGATGGTCAATGGACGGCAGGTGGGTGGGTGGGATGGTCAATGGACGGCAGGTGGGTGGGTGGGATGGTCAATGGACGGCAGGTGGGTGGGTGGGATGGTCAATGGACGGCAGGTGGGTGGGTGGGATGGTCAATGGACGGCAGGTGGGTGGGTGGGATGGTCAATGGACGGCAGGTGGGTGGGTGGGATGGTCAATGGACGGCAGGTGGGTGGGTGGGATGGTCAATGGACGGCAGGTGGGTGGGTGGGATGGTCAATGGACGGCAGGTGGGTGGGTGGGATGGTCAATGGACGGCAGGTGGGTGGGTGGGATGGTCAATGGACGGCAGGTGGGTGGGTGGGATGGTCAATGGACGGCAGGTGGGTGGGTGGATGGTCAAGGTGGGTGGGTGGGATGGTCAATGGACGGCAGGTGGGTGGGTGGGATGGTCAATGGACGGCAGGTGGGTGGGTGGGATGGTCAATGGACGGCAGGTGGGTGGGTGGGATGGTCAATGGACGGCAGATGAGTGGGTGGGATGGTCAATGGACGGCAGGTGGGTGGGTGGGATGGTCAATGGACGGCAGGTGAGTGGGTGGGATGGTCAATGGACGGCAGGTGGGTGGGTGGGATGGTCAATGGACGGCAGGTGGGTGGGTGGGATGGTCAATGGACGGCAGGTGGGTGGGTGGGATGGTCAATGGACGGCAGGTGGGTGGGTGGGATGGTCAATGGACGGCAGGTGGGTGGGTGGGATGGTCAATGGACGGCAGGTGGGTGGGTGGGATGGTCAATGGACGGCAGGTGGGTGGGTGGGATGGTCAATGGACGGCAGGTGGGTGGGTGGGATGGTCAATGGACGGCAGGTGGGTGGGTGGGATGGTCAATGGACGGCAGGTGGGTGGGTGGGATGGTCAATGGACGGCAGGTGGGTGGGTGGGATGGTCAATGGACGGCAGGTGGGTGGGTGGGATGGGCAATGGACGGCAGGTGGGTGGGTGGGATGGTCAATGGACGGCAGGTGGGTGGGTGGGATGGTCAATGGACGGCAGGTGGGTGGGTGGGATGGTCAATGGACGGCAGGTGGGTGGGTGGGATGGTCAATGGACGGCAGGTGGGTGGGTGGGATGGTCAATGGACGGCAGGTGGGTGGGTGGGATGGTCAATGGACGGCAGGTGGGTGGGTGGGATGGTCAATGGACGGCAGGTGGGTGGGTGGGATGGTCAATGGACGGCAGGTGGGTGGGTGGGATGGTCAATGGACGGCAGGTGGGTGGGTGGGATGGTCAATGGACGGCAGGTGGGTGGGTGGGATGGTCAATGGACGGCAGGTGGGTGGGTGGGATGGTCAATGGACGGCAGATGAGTGGGTGGGATGGTCAATGGACGGCAGGTGGGTGGGTGGGATGGTCAATGGACGGCAGGTGAGTGGGTGGGATGGTCAATGGACGGCAGGTGGGTGGGTGGGATGGTCTCGCCAAGGGTTCTGGGTTCAAGTCAAGAGTTTCCCACCAATCGTGCATGGGCCAGGCTGGGAGGCAAGACGCTGCTGTTCACTCTAACCAGATCGCTTGGCAGGCAGGCAGGCAGGTCGGTGGGCAGTGGGTGGGGGGTTATGAATTCTTCCATCGTTGTCCTTGTGGCCTCCATTCCCCAACCCCCCTCCCCTCCTCTTACCATCCTCTTCTCCGGCCGTGCAACCCAGCAGTTGGTGATCGGGTTCAATCACGGCGGATGCATGAATGAGACAGACACCTTTTCTTTCCTTCCGCTCTTTTCCTCTTCCGTCCCCTCCTTCAGACGTGCAACCCAGCAGTGGGTGGAAGGTCGGATTTCACGGCGGGTGCATGAGACATTCGCCTTTGGTCTCTTTCATCCCTTCCCACCACTCTCCCACCCACCCACCCACCCACCCACCCACCCACCCACCCACCCACCCACCCACCCACACTCATCCCTCTTAATTTCCTTCACCCTCTGCAGCCGTGCAACCTGGCAGTGGGAGGTCCCGCCAAGTCACAGCTGGTGCACGAGACATTTGCTTTTGGTTTCCTTTCATCCCTTCCCACTACTCCCCCCCACCCCCAACACTCACCCCTCTTACTTTCCTTCACCCTCTGCAGCCGTGCAACCCAGCAGTGGGAGGTCCCGCCAAATCACAACTGGTGCATGAGACAGACGCCCTGGGAGGGGAGATTGGCAGGATGACGGACAGGTGGGCACATTTATGTGGGAACGGTGGGGGAAGGACTGGTGGGAGTATGGGGGTTTGGTTTTTGAGGTGTCTCTAAAGGTGTGGCCAAGTCACAGCTGGTGCATGAGGCAGACGCTTTGGGAGGGGAGATTGGCAGGATGACGGACAGGTGAGCAGGCAGGGTTGGTGGGTGGGTGGGTGGGTGGATAGGCGAGCAGGGTGGGGTTGACTGGTGAATAGTGTGGGGGTTTGGCTTATGGGGCCTTTTCATAGGGCGAGCATTCTTTTCAGTAGGCGAGTATTCGTTTCAGTGGGCGAGTATTCGTTTCAGTGGGCGAGTATTCGTTTCATTTGGCGAGTATTCGTTTCAGTGGGCGAGTATTCGTTTCAGTGGGCGAGTATTCGTTTCACTGGGCGAATACTCGTTTCAGCGGGCGAGTATTCGTTTCATAGGGCGAGTATTCGTTTCATTGGGCGAGTATTTGTTTCATAGGGCGAGTATTCGTTTCATTGGGCGAGTATTCGTTTCAGCGGGCGAGTATTCGTTTCAGTGGGCGAGTATTCCTTTCAGTGGGCGAGTATTCGTTTCACTGAGCGAGTATTCGTTTCACTGGGCGAGTATTCGTTTCAGTGGGCGAGTATTCGTTTCATTGGGCGAGTATTTGTTTCATAGGGCGAGTATTTGTTTCATTGGGCGAGTATTCGTTTCAGCGGGTGGGCATTCGTTTCAGAGGGCGAGTATTCGTTTCACTGGGCGAGTATTCGTTTCAAAGGGCGAGTATTCGTTTCATAGGGCGAGTATTCGTTTCAGTGGGCGAATATTCGTTTCATTGGGCGAGTATTCGTTTCAGTGGGCGAGAATTCGTTTCAGTCGGCGAGTATTCGTTTCAGTGGGCGAGTATTCGTTTCAAAGGGCGAGTATTCGTTTCATAGGGCGAGTATTCGTTTCATAGGGCGAGTATTCGTTTCATAGGGCGAGTATTCGTTTCAGTGGGCGAGTATTCGTTTCATAGGGCGTGTATTCGTTTCATAGGGCGAGTATTCGTTTCATAGGGCGAGTATTCGTTTCATAGGGCGCGTATTCGTTTCAGTGGGCGAGTATTCGTTTCAGTGGGCGAGTATTCCTTTCAGTGGGCGAGTATTCCTTTCATAGGGCGAGTATTCGTTTCATTGGGCGAGTATTCGTTTCATAGGGCGAGTATGTATTAGTTTCAGTGAGCAAGTATTCGTTTCATAGGGCGAGTATTCGTTTCAGTGGGCGAGTATTCGTTTCAGTGGGCGAGTATTCGTTTCAGTGGGCGAGTATTCGTTTCAGTGGGCGAGTATTCATTTCAGTGGGCGAGTAATCGTTTCAGTGGGCGAGTATTCGTTTCATTGGGCGAGTATTCGTTTCAGTGGGCGAGTATTCGTTTCAGTGGACGAGTATTCGTTTCAGTGGGCGAGTATTTGTTTCATAGAGCGGGTATTCGTTTCGTAGGGCGAGTATTCGTTTCATAGGGCGAGTATTCGTTTCGTAGGGCGAGTATTCGTTTCGTAGGGCGAGTATTCGTTTCGTAGGGCAAATACGTCCGTACTCCGAAACCACTCTCACATTCTACCCCCACCTTTTTCCTCCCCTCCCCACGCCTTCCCACCCTGTTCCACCACTCCCTGCTCCGCTTCTACCCCTCATGTGCTATGTGCAGAAGCGTGTGCTGAACGGTGGGTGGCGGGGGTGGGGGGAAGGAGGGCTTTAAGCACGAGCATGAACAATTAGCCTTTACTCCGCACCCCCCATTCTTCCTGCACCCATCCTGGCCCCTCTTCTACGCTTCCCTACCCCTCCCTACCCCTCCCTACCCCTTCCTATTCCCAGGTGCTACGTGCAGAAGCGTGTGCTCAACCGGTCGCGGGGGCCAGCGGTTTGGGCTTTAAGAGCGCACCCCCCATTCTTCCTGCACCTTTCTCCACTCCTCCCCACCATTCCCCGGCCCATTGTGTACCCCCCCAGGTGCTACGTGCAGAAGCGTGTGCTCAACCGGTCGCGAGGGCCGGCGGTGTGGGCTTTAAGAGCACAGACAGACAAGCGGGAATACAGCGAGGAGATGCGCAAGGTGGTGGAGAAGTGAGTGGTGATGGAAGGTGTGGGATGCGGTGTGCAGGTTTTGTGTGTGAGAGGATTTGGCAAGGTTTAACCAGCGGTGTGGGCTTTAAGGGCTCAGGCGGACAAGCGGGAGTACAGCGAGGAGATGCGCAAGGTGGTGGAGAAGTGAGTGGAATGGGGTGGGGTAGGGTTAGCTGCGGCATTGGGGTGGAAGGGTCTCAGAGATTGGGGTATGGGATGCAGCAGAGTGCAGATGGACAAGTGGGAGTACAGCGAGGGGATGCGCAAGGTGGTGGAGAAGTGAGTGAGTGAGTGGTTGTGGGAAAGGTAGGCCTGGTTTATCGGGTTCAGGCAGCGGGGCAAGGCAAGTGCGCTCAGACTGACAAGCGGGAGTACAGCGAGGAGATGCGCAAGGTGGTGGAGAAGTGAGTCCTGCGATGGCTATGGTTGGTGGGGCATTGGGGTGGGAGGCTCAGAGATTGGGGTACGACGCATAGCAGGGGGAAGCATGGCTCCGACCGGCAGGCAGGCGGGAGTACAGTGAGGAGATGCGCAAGGTGGTGGAGAAGTGAGTAAGGGGGGGAAGGCTCTCGAAGATTGATTAATGAGTAAGGAGGGGGGAGGGGGGGTGCGGCTATGCAAGCGGGGGTACAGCGAGGAGATGCGGACGGAAGGTGGTGGAGAAGGGAGTTGATTCGTTGTTGAAAGGTTGATTGTGAGGCAGGAATTATGAGAGTACAGGAGGGGCAAGGCGGACCAGAGGGGTTGCACACAGACACGGGAGGGTAGACGTAGAGCGAGAGGAGATGCGGAGGTGGTGGAGACGTGATTGTCGGGAGAGGTGGGGCTGCTCATTGCTTAAGTGACTTTTGAGGCGCCTCAAAAGAGGTAGGGCTGCTCATAGCTAAAGTGTTTGCGGATTTCAATCAACCGCCGATTCTTTCTTGACGGACTGGCTGCCCCGGCCTCCACTGCCGCCGTGCAGGGCGTGCGAATTCCAATCAACCACCTCGGCTTTCCTGACTGTCCTGTCCTGTCCTGTCCTGTCCTGTCCTGTCCTGTCCTGTCCTGTCCCTGTCACGCCCAACCTATTCATCCGCAAGGCAATGGCAACGGAGCTCATAGTGGGTCCGACCGAACGACAACGTGCAGGGCCTGCGGACTTCGTTTTCTTTGTTGTTAAGAGTAGCCGCCTCTGCCGTCCTGACAGACTGTCTGTCTGCCCCTGTCCCCCCCTCTCCTCCCTCAGCACGCCCAACTTGTTCATCCGCGAGGCGATGGCGACGGAGCTCATAGTGGGCCCGAACGACAACGTGCAGGGAGTGCGGACGTTCTTTGGGGTGGACTTTCTGGCCAAAGCGGTTGTGCTCACCACAGGTGGGTGTTGCGGGGAGAGGGCACCACAAAGTGGGGAAAGCGAGGTAAGGTGACGTTTTTTAGGAACCAGAAGATGAAGTAGCCAGAACGATACGTGTAAAAAGAAGTGTTTTGAGACATCTCAGAGCACCACAAAGTGGGGAAAGCGAGGTGAGGTGACGTTTTTTAGGTCGACTTTTTGGCCAAAGCGGTTGCGGTTGTACTCACTTCACCACAGGCGGGCGTTGAGGTGGAGGGAATTAGTTGCAGTCAAGGGTAGTGCCGGGAAGCCAAAAGGTGTCGTGTTTTGTGTTTGGGCTGCACTTGAATTGCATTTGGATCGAAAGACTTTCCCTAGCAGTAGGGCAAGCAGGAAACAGATCATCCTCCTCACGTGATGAGTCGATGCAAAACTCGACTCATCACATGCGGATCATCCTCCTCACAGCCCAACAACACAGCACCCCTTCCCTCCCTCTCTCTTCTCCACCTCTCCATCCCGCATCTCCCAGCAGGTAGAGCAGGTGAGGGTGCCCCCCTCCCACGTCCCCACTAGATACCTCCTTCCTCTCAGCTTCGACCTCCTTTGCCCTTCCCTTCATCTCCTCTCCCTCGTATCCTCTCTCCCCTTCCAGGTAACTTTATGAATGGTCGCATCTGGGTGGGCAGGCAATTTCTACCGGCAGGCAGGGCAGGGGAAGGAGCCTCCCACGGCCTCACCAAACACCTCCTCTCCCTTGGCACTGGCCTCCTTCGTCTTTCCCTCATTTCCTCACAGTACCCCCTCTTCTTCCAGGTACATTCATGAACGGTCGCATCTGGGCAAGAAGGCAGTCCCTCCCAGCAGGAAGAGCAGGGGAGGGTGCCTCCCACGGCCTCACCAAATACCTCCTCTCCCTCGGCTTCGAATCCAACCTTCCTCTTTCTCTTTGTGCCGTATGTATCCCCCTTCCAGGTACCTTTATGAACGGCCGCATCTGGGTGGGAAGACAATCTTTGCCAGAAGGCCGGGCAGGGGAAGGCGCCTCCCACAGGCTCAGAGAGTACCTCCTCTCCCCTCGTTTCCTCCTATGTGCCTTCCTTCAGGTACATTCATGAACGGTCGCATCTGGGTGGGAAGGCAGTCCCTCCCACCAGGCAGGGCAGGCGAGGGTGCCTCCCACGGCCTCACAGAATACCTCCTCTCCCTCGGCCTCAATCTGAAGCCTTTGGCTATCCTCCCTCCCCTCATTCTACCCTATCCATCAGGCACATTCATGAACGGCCGGATTTGGGTGGGAAAGCAATCCCTCCCAGCAGCCAGAGCAGGGGAAGGAGCCTCCCACGGGCTCACAGAGTACCTATTATTCCTCCGCTTCGATCCAACCTTCCTCTTTCTCCTTGTGCCGTATGTATCCCCCTTCCAGGTACCTTTATGAACGGCCGCATCTGGGTGGGAAGACAATCTCTCCCAGCAGGCAGAGCAGGCGAGGGTGCCTCCCACGGACTCACCGAATACCTCCTCTCCCTCGGCCTCAATCTGAAGCCTTCAGCAATCCTCTCTCCCCTCATTCTTCCCTGTCCATCAGGCACATTCATGAACGGCCGGATTTGGGTGGGACGGCAGTCCCTCCCGGCAGGCCGGGCAGGGGAGGGAGCCTCCCACGGACTCACCGAATACCTCCTCTCCCTCGGCTTCGAATCCGACCGTCTAAAAACCGGCACGCCGCCGCGGATCGACATCCGGACCGTCGATTTCTCCCGGCTAGAAGAGCAACCAGGAGACGACCCCGATGCCGACGGCGTGGGGAAGCGGTGGTTCAGCTTTGATGAGAGCGTGTGGAGGCGGAGGGAGCAGATGAGTTGCTGGTTGACTCGCACAACAGCGGAGACCCATCGCCTGGTGGAGGCGAGCCTGCATGAGACGCCCACTTATGGTGGCTGGGTGGATGGGAGAGGGCCGCGCTACTGCCCGAGCATTGAGGATAAGGTGAGAGGGGGAGGGAGAGGGGGGGAGCGGTTGGCAAGTGTGGGTGTGTGTGTGTGCATGTGTGCGAGTTGCGTGGGTGAGTGGACGGCCGCGGCCCGCGCTACTGCCCGAGTATCAAAGACAAGGTGAGGGAGGAATGGCATTGGTCCTTCCTTCCTTGAGGAGCCTAGCTTTTGGCTCGCCTCATGGGACACCTCCTGCCCCCTGCCCTCCTCTGTTTGCATGCACGCACAGATAGTGTGATTCAAGGACAAGGAGTCGCACCAGATCTTCCTCAAGCCCGACATCCTCTGCTGCGTGTTTGAAGAAGTGTTTTGAGACGTCTCAAAACACTTCTTCAAACACCCGACATCCTCTGCACCCCCTTGCCTTTTTCTGTCCTATGCTTGCCCCCCCCTTGTTTGCTTGCAACCCCAAATAGTGCGATTCAAGGACAAGGAGTCGCATCAGATCTTCCTCGATTCCCATGTCTGACTCGCCGCATAACTCTCCTCCTCCGCCCCCTGTTGCCCCTGCTCCCCCTGTTACCCCGTGACCACCCTTTGGTTGCACAAGCAGATAGTGCGATTCAAGGACAAGGAGTCTCACCAGATCTTTCTGGAGCCTGAGGGCCGAACCGTGCCAGAGCTCTATGTGCAGGTGGGTGGCTGGGTAGGTGGGTGGTGGCTGGGTGGCTGGATGGGTGGCTGGATGGGTGGCTGGGTGGCTGGCTGGGTGGCTGGCTGGGTGGCTGGGTGGCTGGCTGGGTGGCTGGCTTGGTGGCTGGGTGGCTGGGTGGCTGGCTTGGTGGCTGGGTGGTGCAGGTGGGGGTGGGGAGAGAAAAACAAACTATGCACTGCAATCGGCGGCGGGCATTAGCATGGCACAGCGATTCAAGCTGGGAAGTGATCAAAGAAGAGCTTGTTGCTGTATCTTTATCTCCTTTACATCCTCTGCACCCCTCTGCACCCCTCTGCACTTCAGGGGTTCTCCACGGGCCTGCCGGAGCGCCTCCAACTAGCCCTGCTGCGATCTCTCCCCGGCTTGGAGCGCTGTTCCATGCTGAGACCTGCCTACGCCGTGAAATACGACTACCTGCCGGCATTCCAGTGCTGTGCCTCTCTCTCATATACTCCTCTTCACCTCGCTGCACCCATCATCCTCCAGGGGTTCTGGGCCTATAAGAGCGCCTGCAGCTGGCTCTATTACGCTCCCTCCCTGGCTTGGAGCGTTGTTCGATGCTGAGACCCGCCTACGCTGTGGAATACGACTACTTGCTGGCGTATCATTGCCATTACTCATTCTTGTTTACCCCTCTACACCACTCTCCATCCCTATTCACCTCAGGGATTCTCCACGGGTCTGCCAGAGCGTCTCCAACTAGCCCTGCTTCGCTCTCTCCCCGGCTTGGAGCGCTGTTCAATGTTGAGACCTGCCTACGCCGTGGAATACGACTACCTGCCGGCGTACCAGTGCCAACGCACACTCATGACCAAGAGAATTGAGGGGCTGTTTTTTAGCGGGCAGATCAACCGCACGACTGGATACGAGGAGGCTGCTGCTCAGGTAAGCTGGCAGGCAAGATGTGTGGTTGTGTTGCACCCATGCTCCCTTCACTACACAGGTTTATTTTCTTGTTCAAGTAAGTGGTGCGTTGATGTCCCGCTGCTCGATGCCGAGAAGCTCGATTGTGTTGTTGCTCAAAGTGGGCTTCATTGTGTTCTGTTGTGTTCTTGCCGAGAAGTTCAAAGTGAGCTTCATTGCAGCAAGCCAATTTGGAAAATCTCAGCAAACTGCGTCTTCCTTTTCGTTGCAGGGGCTAATCGCAGGGATCACAACAGGCTGGCTGGCCAGGCTGGCGGATGGGAAGCCGCTGATTGGCATGAATGCTGTTAAGGAGATGAGTGTTAATGACCTCTACATCCATGCCCCTTGTCACATTCATGCGCCTTGTGCGTCCTTTGTTGCAGGGGCTGATTGCAGGGATCAACGCGGCCAGGCTGGCGGGTGGGAAGCCGCTGATCGCGCTGGAGAGGGAGAGCAGCTACATTGGCACTCTAATTGATGACCTGGTGACCAAGGATTTGAGAGAGCCGTACCGCATGCTGACAAGGTGGGATTCGGAGGGAAGTATGGTGGGGTGGGGCTTTGGCAATAGGAGTGAGGGAGAGCAGCAACGTGGGCACTCTTACTGATGGCTTGGTGACCACCAAGGTCCTGAGGGGGCCATACCACATGCCTCACAGTCGGCGGAAGTCATTTCGTATCCCTCCTCCCTTGCCCCTTATGCTGTGCCCTCCCCAGCCGCCGCTCAGTGTTCCAGCTGCTGCTGTGACGATCAGAGCAGACTTCTGACAATGCCGATACACGACTGACACCCATGGGCCAGGAGATCGGGCTCGTTGACGACTGCCAGTGGGGCATGTACTGAGTGAGGTCGGCTCACGATGTACGAGGCAGCTCACCTCTCTCCTCTCTTGGCCCATCCCACTCCTTCCCCAATCTCCCACCTCTCGCTTCCCCTCCAGCCGTTCGGAGTTCCGGCTGCTGCTGCGAGCAGCGGTGGGACATGTCTGTCAACTCATCTCTCTCCTCCCTTGCCCCTTCCCACTCCTTCCCCAACTCCCCACCTCTTGCTTCCCTCCAGCCGTTCAGAGTTCCGACTGTTGCTGCGATCTGACAATGCCGACGTGCGGTTGACACCCATGGGGAGGGAGATCGGGCTGATTGATGATCGCCGGTGGGGCATGTATTTGGCGAGACAGGCGAGGATGGACACTGAAAAAGAGAGGCTCAAGCGGTACAAGCTGGCAGGTGGGCAAGGGCTGATGCTGGCAGGTAGGGTTGGCGCGGGGGACACAAATGACAAGTGTATGAGATCTGAATCTCATGTGGTGCTTTGGCATGTTCCTGGCGAGGCAGGCGAGGTGGATGTTAAGAAAGAGAGGCTCAATCGGTTTAAGCTGGCAGGTGGGTAAGAGGTAGGACAGGCTCTGATGCGTCTTGTTGTCAGCTCGCGACTGTTGAAGTACTTCGCTTGCAGAACTTGTACTTGTTGACGCAAGTGTGTTTTGCATCACTAGAAAAGCATCTCCGTCGCCCGCACGTCACCTACAGCCTCTTCAGAGACCTCAGCCTCATGGGCGCTTCTTCGGGTCCGCCTAAGGGTTTAAGGTGCTCCACTTCACAGTCCACCAACCACTTGTTCTCTGTGTGCTCCTTCCCCTCCCCATCCCCTCTCCCCGTCCCTTCTTCCCCTGCAGCCTCACACCCGGTCATCCCAGCAATAGAGCAGCTGTCAGGAGCAGTGCGGCACGGCACAACGCTGGATCAGATTCTCCGCCGCCCACACGTCACCTACAGCCTCTTCAGAAATGTGCACCTCATGGGGACCCTTTCGGATCACCCTAAGGGTCTACGGTGCTCCACTCCGCTTTCCACCCACCGCTTGTTCTCTGTGTGCTCGTTTCCCTCCCCATCCCCTCTCCCCGTCCCTTCTTCCCCTGCAGCCTCACACCCAGCCATCCCAGCAATAGAGCAGCTGTCAGGAGCAGTGCGGCACGGCACACCGCTGGATCAGATTCTCCGCCGCCCACACGTCACCTACCGCCTCTTCAGAGACCTCAGCCTCATGGGCGCCCCTCCCCCACTCTCCTCCTCCTCTGGCTCGGAAAGTGGCTCGGAAAGTGGTTCGGAAAGTGGTTCGGAATGTGGTTCAGAGGCGGTGGGGGAGTGGGGGGAGGGAGGGGCGGTGGTGTCGGCGTGGGAGGCGGAGTGTGTGGAGGTGGAGCTGAAGTATGAGGGGTTCATTCAGAGGCAGAAGCAGCAGCTGGAGCAGGTGATAGCCAAGGAGCACCGCCGCATTCCCGACGACATTGACTTCGACTCCATTGCCACCGTCTCCAAGGAGGCCCGCGAAAGCTCTCCAAGGTACATGTTTTTAACTGTTATCTGTTGAGTCGACTCAAGATTGAAGGAGTATCGTCGCATTCCCGAGGACATTGACTACGACTCCATTGCCACCATCTCCAAGGAAGCGCGCGAAAAGCTCTCCAAGGTATGTACTTGTAATTGCTATCGTTCTTCTTTCTTGCTTTCTTCCTCCAAGGTACATACTTAACCTCTTTTCCCCATGTTTTAGTGATGTAACTAGTGCGTGTTTTGGTGATGTAAGGAGTGCCTGTTGTGATGATGTTGCCAGTGATACACGTGCACTGTCGTGTGTCATACTTCTGGTATAGGAATGTTCCAGGAAGGTCATGCACATATGGGGCTCGGAGCACACACGCACCTGGGGGAATCAGTGCGCACATTTTCACACACGTGTGCTCTCTCACGTGTTGATACCCACCTGCTGTCTTGCTGCAGATTCGGCCGGCCACCATTGGGCAAGCGTCTAGACTGGGCGGAGTCAACCCTGCTGACATCACAGCTCTGCTAATTTTCCTGGAAGTTCAACGCCGGAAGAAACAGACGACAAACGGAACCGTGCCAAGTCGGCTCGGTGGTGCGGTGAATGGTGACATTGATGGTGGCGCACTGATGTCGAGTGAGCCGGCAGTTGCAGTCGCGAATGTAGATGGTTGATTGGTGGTGGTATCGTATGCTAATGTAATGTGATGTTGTCGGCAAAACGGACAAAAGTATATTCGAATCAAAGTTCCGTGGTCAGTCCAAGTTCTACAATTGCAAATGATACCACTCTTTGTATCAACCACAGGTTTGACAAACAAAATGAAAACATTTAGAGTTCTAAGATGACACTACATAACATTCAATGACTGTCTACATGAATGTCTAAGTAATGACCTGACGAAGTCCCATAGGTTGTATCGAATTTGACAGCGACATAGGTGTGTCAGAGAGTCGAGCCGCCTGCCAATCGAACGGTGATTCGTGCCGCATCAGCAGCATGGTCGATGAACGAAGGGGAGCACTGCTTCCCCACAGCCGAAGAAATGTGTCAGGAAAACGGGTCATCATCATCCATCCAAGTGAGCCAAGCCCAAAGGGTGGTGGATGTATGTGATCTGGGTAACAAAATATTTCAGAGCAACAAGCCCACTTCAGTTTGCTGCATCACGCACGATCAGCCACCAAGAAATCCATTCTCTCGCTCCTTCAAGTCAAGTATCTTATCGCCCTAGTTCCGCAGCGATCATTTACCTTTACCTAGAGCTATGGCCGAAGAGGGTGTTGCAACCGTCGAGGTTCAGTATGTTCCAACTGAGGAACTTCAGCCTGTCGAAGATTTGGAGGGCGTCCTTTCCGTAAGTTAGCACGCTAGCAGCATTGGATTAGTTTCACATGACGAAGATAGTATTCACTGGTGATGTTCTTCACGCTTGCAGGGTCTTGGGGCGAAGCTTGAGTCGAAAGACTGGTTCGTGGTTTGCGAGGGGCTTATTGAACTCCGGAGGGTTGCGAAGTTCAACAGCGAACACCTTACCGAACGACTGTATGTGGTTAACAATCTTAACCTTTTTTTCCTTCATCTTGTTTTCCAAACATGCGTGGAGCTCATCGTGGAAGCTAACCCATGCGTTGGCGCTTGCAGTGAATCCTATTTTGATCCGATGGTGAAGTCTCTGAAGAACCCCAGGAGCGTTCTCAGAAAGACTTTATGGATGACCTTTGAGGACCTGTTTAGGTTCAACACGACGTGCATGGAAGGGTCGCTTGAATCCTTGGTACGTTATTTACTGTGTAATCATCGTTTCTATCTTATTTCCACCAGGGTTTTCATGTCAGACGACATTTGCTCTGCAGATGCAACCTTTGCTTATCCAAGCTTCACAAGATAATAAGTTCATGGTGGAAGCCGTTGACCGTGCGCTTTCGACAATGGCATCGTCTCTTAATCCGGAAGTCACCCTGAAGGCGCTTCAAACGTGCATCGCGCATAAGAGCCCGAGAGTACGGTCAAAGGCAATGATTTACGCCTACCAAGCGGCAGTTCGACTGGTGAGTCAGTGGCTGTGCTTCATACCTGCTCCCCGTTTCGTTAGTACTTGTTTGAGTCAACTTACGTCTTGTTTTCCATGTGTTACAGAGCCCGGATCAGGTCAAGCTTATTGGGCTGGATGTGCTTTTAAAGATTGCCGCAACTCAGATGAAGGACCAAGTCCCGGAGGGTCGGGAAGCAGCTCGAAAGCTTGCAGTATACCTTCACTCGCTATATGTTGCTATGGAAGATGCGGCTGCGGAGAGCCAGGGGACATCCGAACCATGGGAGGGATATTGCAGCAAAAGGCTTTCATCGACTGATGCTGCAGCAGTGCTCAAGGTTTCAGGTTAGACAGCACTGTGGTTAACATTGCTTCCTTAGTGAAGCCATCCTGGAGAGGATTGTTGAAATGTTAGGCAGCTGGAGGCTCGCCAGAGGTAAACTGTGCGTGCCTTCCTTCAAAACAGGACCTAAACTTCTTTGTACCTTGCAGAGTCACAGGAATTTATTAAGCTTCAGAGGCCCACCAACGGGATTACAATTGATCGTCTGTGATTCTTAGCCAGAAGAACTCGAGCACAGAAAAAATATCAAGCATCGAGTAGAGCAGTTTTATAGCTTCTGTTTCAGCGTATCAATAAGGTGTGATAGTGTGCGTAGTGTTTGTATTTTTAAGGCCACTCGTTACACGTTTTGCACATATCAGTACAGACAAAAGAGCGGATGTGAAACAAAACCAAAGCACAATAGAAGCGTTTGCGCCAAACCGAGACTAGGTGGTGTTTTCCTTAGCAAATGTGTTGTGCTCCATGGCGTTCGGCGAAGAAATGGGCAGTCCCTCGCGCGTTCCACGGGACTCGGAGGAACAGGCACAGCCACTTGCGTGCGACCCGAACTCGTGTCCAGCGACAATGAAAGAGAGAGAATCAGAGGATGAGGATATAGAGGCTTGGGAAGAACAGTACGAGGGTGTGGACGACGAGGATTCTCCATTTAGTTCAACTTGTTCATTCCTAGAACCAGGACAGGTGCGTCGTATTTCGCTCAGCCAGCTCCCTGAAGCTACGTGCGACTAATGTAGCGTCGTCGGGTAACCCGCTTTTCGAGTATGCCTTGCCTTTTTTCCCGACTACCAGCATCCAGTCGGCATGACCCGCCGTTGAAATATCGGGCTCGCTCCAACATTGTCCCACCGCAGCATCCCTACTCTTCGTCCCCGCGCGTCTCATTTCCGCCACACATCCAGGCGTTTGTGGGGACGCAGAACGTGTCGTCTTCATCTTCCTCGGGTGACTCTTCTCCGCCGTTATCAGGCATGGAGCGGGACGAGGCGTGGCGGGTGACGGTGCGCATTCAGCAGTGCGACATGCGGAGAGGGTACCTGTGCGGATCCATGGAGGCTCTTAACGTTCCCTCCACTGACACCTCGGTGAGCTGGACGCGAGACGATACGAGGCAAGATGAGTTAACGGTGACAACATGTTTGTCCTCTTAACCAGCGCTATATAAAAATATGTATATGTATTAGCTGAATGGGGGAGGAGGAAAGGAGGGGAAGGGGGGTAGGGGGGGTTGATAGCCCTGGGGACAGAAGACTGATGTGCTTTATCGCATTCAGTGCACGGAAGCGTGCCACTTCAACTCTTTGTCATTCCTTGTTTGAGTGTCTTCACGAAATCCGGCATTGCATACACTAAACCTGGAGCCACCGCCACCCATCACCCTCTGAACCCTCGTGTCAGTGCAGGTGGTAACCTTTTGGGACGGAGAGATTGTGGACGGCAAGAACTATTCCTTCTTCACAGGACAGTGGGATGCCACGTGAGTGCTGGCAGCTGCGTGTTGTCTGTTGGTGTTGATTTGATGATAAAGTACTGATGACATGCGCCAAGAACTGCCTGGTAACTGGTCAGTGGAATGCCACGTTAGGCATGGAATATCATGGCACTGTAACATCCTCTTTTCAATAATACCCGTTTAGCGGAAATGTGCAACGGTATCATCTGCCCCATCCCCCTCTTGATTATCTCACTCCGTTCGTTCCTCCAGTCGTGAAACTGACATCAAGCACTGGTCTCGCTTCCCATGCTTCGCACAGCTCAAGGTATGGTATTTTCTCCTTGCCGTCATCATCATTTCATTCTTGGTTAATTAGGGTGGCGGTGTTGAGAGTAGAAGCCGTGATGCAATGCTAAATTGGAAGCATGGCTAAGTTGATTTGATTGTGTTAGTTTCTACTCTCAGCAAATACAGCACACCTGATCTGAGCAACAGGCGTCTATGAGGCCGTCCATCTTCCGTGGTTAATTGCTCTAACTGCACTCATGTCTTTAGATGATGTCGTTGCTCCTCCATGGCAGGAATCAGCACTTAAGGACGGAGCTCGATCCATAGACCTCTCAACATTTCCTTACATCTTCATGGTATGCATGCAACCTAACCTAGCATCATCACCTTTGCGTGATATGTCATTCAGTTCAGATCCTCACGTGACTCGTTCGCAGCATGTTTGACCTGAAATCAGAGGTCCGTCTCTTCTCTGTGTCCAGTCAGCCCCATTCCGCCCTCCTATCCCCCTTTTCCCTTCTTTGATATCGTGAATACCCGCGTTTCCCCTTCCCCCCTCTCCTCCCCCTATCCCCCTCCCTCCATTCCCTTTCATCCCCTTGTGTTCCAATCCCCGTTACCAGAGGTGATAGAACTTGCTCTTCTCCTCTCCTCAAACCCCTCACCCCCCAAATCCCCCCTCCTTATCCATCCCCCCTCTCTTCTCCCTTCTCCCCTCTCCCCCCCCCTTTCCCTCGCTTCTCCGCTCCACCCTCTCTTCCCCACATTGCATCCCCCCGCATTCCTGTTTGCATTGTTCCTTCCCTTGGCCCCCTTTTCATCCCTCATGTCCCTCACGTCCCTTACATCCCTTCGCCTTCCTGTGTGATCCCTAGAGCGGTGGAGGGAAAAGTTATTTGTGAACGTGGCTCCATCTCTTTCCCGACCCTCCCCTTTCATTGCTTCCTGTGCATAGCGGTGGAAGGAGAAGTTCTTTGTGAACGTGGGCCCGGACTGTGGGCTCACAATAGCGGGCTTCTACTATGTGTGTTTCAATCGGGAGGATGGGAGTGTCACAGGCTACTACTACGACCCTAGCAGCAGGTGACTATAAGCGGGGTGGAGGGGTGGGGGAGGGAAAGGATTTAAAAAAGGGGCGGAGGAGGGTGGGGGGAAGGGGGGGGTGGGGGGGAGGAGGGGGGGGAAGGGTGCATTGTATGGGAGGAGTGTAATGAGTTTGTCTGGAGCAGCAACTAGCCTGTGGCGTGGGTCACTATAGGAGGCTACTGCTATGTGTGCTTCAATCGGGAGGACAGGAGTGTGACACACTATTACCACGTCCCCCAGCAGTGAATCATGGTTTGAGTTGTGGGGTGCTTCGGCAGAAAATGTTGAGTTGAGACCACTTACAAACGTGTGGGGTTTTTTTGCAACAAGTTGGGTGTGACAGAATGCATGCCTCAGACTTTCTCTTCCTGCTCTCATCCCATCGCCTTGGTACCTCCTCTGCAGTCCCTTTCAAAAGCTGGAGCTCCAGCCACAGCAGCTGAGCTCTTCTGGGTACACATCTGGCACATTCGCTCTCTGCTAGTAATCTAAACAGGGTGATTTCTGAGGCGCCTCTGAATCTGCAGCTCCAACCACAGCAGCTGAGCTCCTCTAGGTACACATCCGGCACATTTGCTCTCTGCTAGCCACATCCGACGCATTCGCTCCCTGCTGACCTGCACAAAGCAACTTTTGAGGCTCATCTGAATCAGCAGCTCCAGCCACAGCATTCTGGGTACACATCCGGCACATTCGCTCTCTGCTGGCCACATCCGACGCATTCGCTCCCTGCTGACCTGCGCAAAGCAACTTTTGAGGCTCATCTGAAACAGCAGCTCCAGCCACAGTAGCTGAGCTCGGTACACATCCGGCACGTTTGCTCTCTGCCGACCTGCACAAGAATTTTTTTATGCGCCTCTAAATCTGAAGCTCCAGCAACAGCAGCTGAGCTCCTGCGGGTACACATCTGGCCCATTTGCTCTCTGCTGACCTGCAAGTGTTGTCGAATACTGTCCCATTTGTGTTTACGCAGCGTGTAGTGAGGGTTGTTGTTGAGTTGGTTTGGAGGAGCATGAATCGTACCTAGGTTCAGCTGCTACCAATCATGCTTGCAAGTGTACATAGTGTTAGGACTAGGGAGGTATTTGAATGCAAGTGTGATATTGCAGTTCCTCGATTGTTGGTTTTTGTTCGGGTAAAGTTGAAGGGTCAAAATCGTGTACACTAGTTTTTGTACCAGTAAAATCATGTCATCAGGACTCCAGGATGTTAGTACCGGTATGTTAACTTCCAAGATTTCTTCTTCTTCTTTAAAGCATACCGTATTGTTGCTCTGGTGACGATGATCTGTAGGAATCGACTTCCAACACCAGCAATGTTTACTACAACCAGTACGGTAATAAAAACCCACAGCAATTTGTACAGGACTATTTACATGTCTTCAATGAGTCTGCTGCTGATACCACCCCTACCCGTTTCCTGTCGCACTCCCCCAGGCAAGGGGAACCGCCGGCCACTCCTCACAATCTCCCAGAACAGAAGCCCATTCCATGCGTCGGGCACACCCGGCAGGCACCAGTGAACGCAGTCCTGCTGCCCCGGTGCCTTGCCGTCCTTGTCATACCGTGTATCACAGTGACAGGTGAACCAGCAATTTGCAATCCTGTACAAGAAAGAATTGTACAGTGATTTGTACAATCGTTATTACATTACATGACTTGAATTAAACTGCTGTGCTACCACCCCTATCCCCTCTCCCTCCCGTTTCCCCAGGCAAGGGGAATCGGCCACTCCTCACAATCTCCCAGAACAACAGCTCATTCCAAGCGTCGGGCACACCCGGCAGGCACCAGTGCACGCAGTCCTGCTGCCCCGGTGCCTTGCCGTCCTTGTCATACCACCGGGACAGGTGTGCCTCGGGACGCATGGCAGACAGCGCCGTGATGTTCAACAGCTGCACCGCCGTACCTTCCACTGCTGCCTCTGCATTCCAATCCCGTGTTTGAAAGTACAACCGCTCTGCTTCCTCCTGAGTCAGCATGCTCTGGGGAAGGAGGGAGGGGGTTAAGAGAGAGGGATGGGTGAAGAATGTGGAATGTGGAATGTGGAATGTGAGAAGGAGAGAGGGCAGGCACCAGTGCACGCAGTCCTGCTGTCCCGGAGCCTTGCCGTCCTTGTCATACCACCGGGACAGGTGTGCCTCGGGGCGCACGGCAGACAGCGCCGTGATGTTCAGCAGCCGCACCGCCGTGCCTTCTACGGCCACCTCAGCGTTCAAACCCCGCGACTGGAAGAATAGTCGGTCTGCTTCCTCCTGAGTCAGCATGCTCTGAAGGGGTGGGGTTTAGGGTGCGGGGGGAAAGGCGGGGGGGGGTTGGGGTGGGGGGGTGGGAATGGGCAGATCCAGCAGCCTCACCGCCGTACCCTCCACTGCTGCCTCTGCGTTCAAATCCCGCGACTGGAAGAACAGCCACGCCGCTTGCTCCTGAGTCAGAATGCTCTGCACGGGGTGAGCTTCAGCGTTTGGGGGTTGAGTATTTTCGGGTTTAATATTGTGGGGTTTGGTTGGTGGGAGCAGCCACACTGCCGTGCCCTGCAAGGCTAAACAGCTCTGAATTCGCTTGCATCATTATCGTTACCCATTCTAGTGTCTTACCGCCCATCCATATGTGCTACAAAAGATCCTAAACAGGCTGAAACCCTGAACAGGGTTGTCGTTACCCACTCCAGTGTCTCACCTGCCAGTGTTACACTGCCCATGCACGAATGGGGAGGCGGCTCCAGCACCAGCAGCGCCAGCAGCACCAGCAGCACCAGCAGCACCAGCAGCTCCAGCAGCACCAGCAGCACCAGCAGCACCAGCAGCACCAGCAGCACCAGCAGCACCAGCAGCACCAGCAGCACCAGCAGCAACAGAGGCACCAGAAACTTAAGCTTTACTCCCCCAACAATCCTTGTCCCCTCACCTGCAGCTTGTCGCAACCCCCGCCAGTGTTCCACTGCCCATCCATGAAATGCGCCGGCGACCGCGTCACCAGCAGCACCAGCAGCAACAGAGGCACCAGAGGCTTAAGCTTTACTCCCCCAACAATCCCCCTCCTCTCACCTGCAGCTTGTCGCACCCTCCTCCGGTGTTCCACTGCCCATCCATGAAATGCGCGGGGGACCGTGTCACCAGCAGCACAAGCGGCAGCGCCCGCTCTCCCCGCTCTCCCCGCTCTCCCCTCTCCCCCCTCTCCCCCCTCTCCCCCCTCTCCCCCCTCTCCCCCCTCTCCCCCCTCTCCCTCCACACCCGCTCTCCTGTCCCCGTCCCGCATCGCAGCCAGTCGCCGCCTCTCTCGCTCCTCAGCTATCTCCTGCAGGTGGCGGTGCACCCACATGGCTGTTGAGCGCAGCACAGTGCGCATGGGCACGTTGAAGTCGCCCTCCATCTCCTTGTGTGTCTCTGGAGGGACCGGCACCCCCTGAAGGTGGAACTGCCACCTGTACTCCTGCATCTTGTTGCTGAGAATGGTGGGAGAGGGAGGGGATGGAGGGAACGAAGGCGCAGCACGGTGCGCATGGGCACGTTGAAGTCGCCCTCCATCTCCTTGTGTGTCTCTGGAGGAACTGGTATGCCGCCTAGGTGGAACTGCCACCCATATTCTTTCATCTTGTTGCTGAGGACAAGGGGGGATGGGGGATGAGGGGGAACGCAGAGGCAGCACGGTGCGCATGGGCACGTTGAAGTCGCCCTCCATTGCCTTGTGTGTCTGTGGGGGGACCGGGACCCCATGTAGGTGGAACTGCCACCCATACTCCTGCATCTTGTTGCTGAGGGGAGGGCAGCAGAGGGCGGGTGTGGAGGTGGGAGGAAAATACTGAAAAGCATGCTCCCTCGCCTCTCCCTTGCCTTTTCGCTCCTCAGCCATCTCCTGCAGGTGGCGGTGCACCCACATGGCTGTCGAGCGCAGCACGGTGCGCATGGGCACGTTGAAGTCGCCCTCCATCTGCTTGTGTGTCTCCCGGGCGACTGGGATGCCTCCTAAATGGAAGTGCCACCCGTACTCCTGCATCTTGTTGCTGGGGCGGGGGGGTGGCGGGGGGTGGGGGGGCTGTGGAGCGCAGCACAGATGGGCAGGTTGAAATCGCTGGCCAGAGCACGGCACGAGGATGTGGGAAAAGGGAGAGAAAAGGGAGAGAAAACGATGTGTAAAGATGACGTGCATGTTGAATGCTCATCCTACCTTGGCTTTCGTGTGCTTGTTCTTCGTTATAAGAACAGCTTTCTGTACACAAACGTCATAGTAGTATTCACTCCTGCATTCACGCGAGCAAGATGATAACATGCATCTCCACTCACTTGTATTCACTATAATCACACCCATCGCCACTCACCATGATCCCCTACCCTGCATTCAACATAATCACACCCATCTCCACTCACATATTCCAGTGGTGCCCCGTATTCATTATAATCACATCCATCTCCTCCATGTGCTGCCTCAAAAACTCGTCCGGTTGGTCCAGGTGAGCCGCCTGCCCCGTTGACTCGTTCGCCCAATCCTTGCGCGCCACGTGGCACAGCGACGTGGTCCACTTGAGCAGCACCGTGGTGTTGGTTTCGGGGAAACGGTAGGCGGAACCCTGTAGAGCGAAAGTACACAGGGCAGCAAGAGAGTGAGAGCGCGCGAGAAAGACACACGCACAGTCGTTGACACAGCAGCGTGGTCCACTTGAGCAGCACGGTGGTGTTGGTTTCAGGGAAACGATAGGCTGAACCCTGCAGGGATTGGGGGGGTAAAAAAGGTAAAGAGCGAGAGGAGGCGAGACACGACACCCATTAAGCACAGCTGCGTGGTCCATTTCAGTAGCACTGTGGTGCTGGTTTCCGGGAAATGATAGGTTGATGAACCCTGCAGTAATGACAGTGGGTGGGGGCAAGAAAGAAAAGGAAGAAAGTGTGTGGCGTGGGGGAGATGAGGCAGAGGCACCTACTGATACCGCTCACCTTGCAGCCCACCCAACCCACCTCCAAGCCACCACCCACCCACCTGCCATCCGTGCCAGCCGGCAGTCCAGTTGAATCTGTAATCCGCATCTCGTGACTCGATGTATGGCTCGTGGGTACGTGGTGTGGGGTAGATAAAGCGGAGGCACGTTTTGAGACGCCTCACAACCCACCTCCGTGCCACCACCCACCCACCACCCACCAACTGACCTGCTACTAACCCACCTGCCATCCGCGCCAGCCAGCAGTCCAGTTGAACTTGTAGTCTGCAACTCGTCACTCGATGTATGGCTCGTGAGTGCGTGGTGTGGGGGAGATGAGATGAGATGAGATGAGGCACCTGTTGTTACACCTCACAACAAACAAAACCAACCTGCCATCCGCGCCAGCCGGTGGTCCAGTTGAACTTGTAATCGCTGTCTCGCGACTCGATGTACGGCTCGTGGGTGCGTGGTGTGGGGGAGATGAGGCAGAGGAAGGAGAAGAACTGCTGCAGGCCCACTGAATCGCCCACAAATGCCACCTTCTTGTTGCGCAGACTGGGAGCAATGGGATGGGAGAGTGGGAAATGGTCGGAGGGTCAAGAGAACAGGGGTTGGTTGGGTTGGAAGTTGGCGAATGGAAGGGGGAGATGAGGCAGAGGAAGGAGAAGAACTGCTGCAGGCCCACTGAGTCGCCCACAAGCGCCACCTTCTTGTTGCGCAGACTGGGAGCAATGGAGAGGGTGTGTTGGGATGGGAGAGTGAAAAATGGAGGGGCGAAAAGGAGGGGGGAAAAGGAGGGGGGAAAAGGAGGGGGGAAAAGGAGGGGGGGGAAAGGAGCGAGAAATGAGGCAGAGAAGAAAGACGAACTGCTGCAGGCCGACAAAGGTGGCCACACGCCCCACTCTCCTTCAATCCCACCCACATCCACCGTTCTTTGAGTTGGTGCAGTTGAAACGAGGGACTTCACATGGGACTCCGCACCCCTGCTTGTACGCAGAGGAGGGACGGTCCTTGAAGGCCACGCCCCGAAACACAAATTCACACAACCCATAAACACCCACCCACACCACACATACCGCTCCTTCAACTTGGCGCGGTGAAACAAGGGACTCAGCAACCCTGCGCCTGCCATAGGCACCCTTGCTCGTGCACAAAAGAGGGGCGGACCTTGTAGGCCATGAGTCAAGTCACAAATTCACACAACCCATCCACACCCACACCCACCGTTCTTTGAGTTCGGTGCGGTTGAACCGGGGCACACGGCACCCATCCGGCTGCCATCTGAACTGCTCATACACAAACGAGGGGCGGTCCTTGCGTCGGCAGGTCCAGTGGGGCAGGGGGAACTGGCACGTGCTGCCCGAATACAGCGGATGGTGCTGAGAGTCCCTCACCCACTGCCCCATTCCTCCCCCCCCTCTCTCCCTTCTCTCCCTAACCTGCCACATAAGGCTGACCCGCCACATACCGTTCTTTGAGCTCAGTGCGATTGAAATGAGGGACTCGGCACCCCTCCGGCTGCCATCTGAACTGCTCGTACAGAAACGAGGGGCAATCCTTGCGACGGCACGTCCAGTGGGGCAGGGGGAACTGGCACGTGCTGCCTGAATACAGCGGATGGTGTTGAAAATCCTTCACCCACTCCCCTGTATACAGGTCGCAGGTTTCCGACAGGGGTGGCAACAGCTGTCTTCTTCTTCTGCTACTGCTGCCCTTCCTTCGTTTTCTCCTTGTCGTTCTGCGCTTGCTGGATGTGCCGTTTAGGGTTGGTGAGTGGGTAACCCCTCCTCCTCCTCCTCCCACGTGATCAATTCCCGTCTCCTCGTTGACTGTTCTCACTGGACTAACACCCGCTTGCTCCTGCTGCTGCTCCTGCTCCCCTTCGTCCTCCTCTCCCACTTGCGCCCCCCACTCTTGACCTGATTGCACTTTGGCAGTGTCCTCATCGCCACCAGTGGCAGGAACCACGTGGTTACCACTGCCATGGTTACCACTCGCGTTGCTACCACTGGCACCAGCAGCAGCAGCGTCTCTTTCACCAGAAGCAGCAGCACCGAGCCTATCAGCGGCACTGCTTCCATCTCTTTCCCCAGCAACAGCACCTCCATCCATCAGCCGTGCTCTCTCTGCCCTCTGATCAGCATCTGTCTCCTCCTCTGACTCTTGCTGCTGCTGCTGCTGCTGCTGCTCCATCCCCTCCATAAGCTTCCTCGCTTCCTCCACTGTGGCAGGGGATGGGCGGGAGAACAGGCAGTGTTATGGTGAAACGCCGCTGTGGAAGTGAGGAAGCTTTTGAAGGGGATGGAAGCAGTGGCATGTTGAAAGACCACCGAAAAGGACAAGTAACAGCTACTTTCTGAAACAGCAATAAATGCAAGCCTTTGTGTCACATGCAAGGAGAGCGGAAAGGAAAGTCATTTGCACGATTGACATGGCGTATGGCATACGCACGATCACAGCATGCAGACATGAAATATGAATCAAGATAACACCCCACTTGACATGATAGCACGATGGCCCAGGGATATAAAAGTACACGAGCTGACAGCACAAGGTCACATACAGAGGTATTTGTCGATGTCAAGAGGAGGCTCTTCATCTTTAGCACCAGCCTCAGCTGCATCTTCGTTAGAAACGACCTCGTTAGCAGCACCTGATTCAGTCCCACGACCTTGAGCAGCAGCAGCACCAGCAGCAGAAGCTTCACTGCTGCTTCCGCTGCCCACACCATTGCTAGCACCGCCTCCGCGATCCGCGCTGAATTGGCCGTTGCTTTCAGTCGAACCGCTTGTTGATCGTACGGCGGGTAGATCCGAGGCAGGAAAGGCGGCCTCTTTCCGTATCCTCGCTTCATGCCGACTCGCTATCCGTCTACCGGCAAACACCGCGATCGACAACGCAAGTACGAACACGAGCGCCATTGAAAACACTGAGCGAAACGACAAGCCCGTTCTCCCGCTCTTTTCCCTCCCTGATTGCAGCAAAGAGCCTTGACTCCCTCCCCCTCCTCCGTCTCCTCTCGCATCTGCCGAGCCTGCCCCGCCGGCTCGGCCATGCCTCGACAAGGCGGATTGTGGCTTGGAAGCCTTGACGACGGAGGCTTGGGAAGAATCGGATATTCGGGAGTCCTTCTTGCGCGGCTGCATGGAATTTTAACGCGACTGACCTATTAGTCGGCTAATATACGGTTGACTACAGCACGGACGGAAGCAAGGGGGAAATTAGTGGGCGTAAAGTTGAGAGAAGCGTGCTGAGTTGAAAATCGTCAGCGGAAGAGTAGCAGAAGGCTCGATATGAGAGCGTGATGGCCGTTGGGAGAACAAACTGAGATTTGTGTGAAGTGCAAAAGTGCATTCCGTTGCCGGGACTTGAACCCGGGTCTTTCGGGTGAGAGCCGAATATCCTAACCGACTAGACTACAACGGATAACTGGTGCATCGAATTTTTATTTGTAATGGCAATTTTTAAATCTCAGGACCGTTAATTTGTACCGTTTTGCATCGTGACGAAACTAAGTTAACCTTTGAAAAGGTTCTACAACGTGACGTCGCCCAAAAATTCTTTGCTGCCGCGTGATCACCCGATTGAATGAAGGAGCCCGATTGGTTCGTTGAAAATAGCGGCGCAGCACATCTTGGGATTGTCGTGGTCGCCCATAGAGATTTCCCCGCCAAGTTGAGATGTGAAAGTGAGCTCGGTTTGGTCTGATATTCTGCGTGTAAGAGCGGTTTGTATGTATTGACACGTGCATGGGTTGACAGAAAGAAACCCACTAAAGTTTGAAGGCTTTACATCAAAACAGGCGTGAAGGCAGGCGGGTCACGGTTTTACGTACCTGATTCGTCTAGCGCGGCCCAGTACGTTAGAAAAGCACAGAAGCACTAATTTCGCGGCGCGCACGTGGCTGGCAGCAGTTGAATTAGCAAGGCTCCCTCAGCTGAAAGTCCGCCATTAATAGTGCACGGGTGCCAATGCTGTCTTGTAGTCTCGCTCCAGCGCTAAACGCTCCGGCAATGGCGGCTACATTTGCGCTGACCACATTATCAAAGACGTCCCTACAATCGGTAGCTGTGCCTTCCGCATTTCCCGGACATAAATTTGCGAAGAAGTCTGGAGCATACTCTCTGTCCACATCCTGGTTCGGTCAGAATCTGCGAGCTCCTATTGGTCGAGCCAATTCGGGCAGAAATGGCTGTTACCGGATTGGCGGAGCCGCTGGAGTGAGAGCCGTGGCGGCGACGGGGCGGTCGGCGGCTGATCGTATTGGCTCGAACGAAATGCCGAGTAAGCCGACCAGCGCGTATGCGTGGTGCAGTGCGGTATGATGCAATGCCTTATGCTCCAGTACGGCGCCGTCTGGTTTGAAGCGGTGACGCCCTAACTAACGGTCGGTGTCGTGCGGGAGTGCCTGGCAACGGCCGCTAGGACGATCCAGCATTCTTCGCACGCTTCAAGCATTCATTTGTCCCTCGCGTTCACCCTTTTCCGACATATGGTCCTTTCGATGCATTGGCTGCCTCGCCGTCGGGCTGCAGACGAGGCGGTTTCTGCGTAGGTTGTAGAAACTCCTCCTTGTCCTCCATCTTTCCCACATTCACCCTGTTGCGGCCTGTGATCTTTCTTTTCTGCCGTACCCTTACTGCCTTGCTGCCGTGCTGCAGACGAGGAGGCGTTTCTCCGTGCGGTGTCGGAGGGAAGCAACGTGATCCCCGTGTTTCGGACATTCACCCTTTTGTTATGTGTGATCATGACCTACCTTTACTGCCTTTACTGCCGTGCTGCAGACGAGGAGGCGTTCCTCCGCGCGGTCTCCGAGGGAAGCAACGCGATCCCCGTGTTTCGGGCATTCACCCTTTTGTTATGTGTGATCATGACCTACCTTTACTGCCTTTACTGCCTTTACTGCCGTGCTGCAGACGAGGAGGCGTTCCTCCGCGCGGTCTCCGAGGGAAGCAACGCGATCCCCGTGTTTCGGACATTCACACTTTTGTTATGTGTGATCATGACCTACCTTTACTGCCTTGCTGCCGTGCTGCAGACGAGGAGGCGTTCCTCCGCGCGGTCTCCGAGGGAAGCAACGTGATCCCCATCTCTCGCCGCATTTTCAGCGACCATCTGACGCCTGTCCTCGCTTACCGCTGCCTCGTTAAGGAGGACGACCGCGACGCGCCCAGCTTCCTCTTCGAGTCCGTCGAAACTGCCAACGACGGCCGAGCGCGATCCGTGAGTGGCGCTTTACTAAGCAAAATTCTTACAAGGTGGTGTTGGACTGGGCAAATAGCTCATTCAATTGCGACGTAGTCCACCCACCTGTGAAAACACAAAGGTGAGAAGGCAGGGGAGCAGGTGTAAACCCGAAACCCTGCTGAAGCGAGTGTGATAGGTATACTAAAATATGAAGCGAGGCCAGCGCCTCAACTTAGCACGACCTCCGTTTCACAATGGTGAAGTGTGCAGGCTGCTTGTATCCATAACGAACAGTTCCCTGGCGAGGGGTTAGGGGGAGGGTCTGGATTCTGGAGTGATAAGAAAAGAGACTCTTCCCCCTCTCTTACCCCTTTCTCCTTGCCTCTCATACCCGCTCCTCCCTTGTCCTCCCATCTGCAGGGTCGGTACTCTATTCCTACGTGGGAGTGCAGCCAGCACTGGAGGTGGTGGTGAGGGGGTTGGGTTGGGGCTCCTAGCTTCTGTGCAACAGTCTTATCCCTGTCTTCCGCTTCCCCCATCCCTTTCTCCCCCCAGGGCCGCTACTCCTACGTGGGCGCGCAGCCAGCACTGGAGGTGGTGGCGAGGGGGGTGGGCCCAGTGTCGGTGGTGAATCATGACAAGGGGAAGAGGGAGACCATCGAGGGCAAGGACCCGCTGCAGGTGAGGGATGGTGCCGCCTTGTGTGTCTATACGTGAGAGGGAGGGAGAGAGAGAGAGAGCCAGAATCCGCAGGGGTGAGGCCAGTGTCGGTGGTGAACCATGATAATGGGAAGAGAGACACGATTGAGGGCAAGGACCCGCTGCAGGTGAGGCAGGGAAGCTGAGGTATGGGGCCATTTGTGTGTGTATGTGTGTGTGACAGCTGGCTGGCATTGACTGGGATGGGCCCAGGGAGATGATCAGTGCAAGGACCCTTTGCAGCTGAGGAACGGAGCTGAGGTATGGGGTCATGCGCGTGTGTGTGGAAAGCACGTACACACTCTTTCAGGGGGTTGGGCCCAGCGGCAGTGGCGAGCCACGGCAAGGGCCCCAGGGAGACCGGAGACGATCGAGGGCAAGGACTCGCTGCAGGTGAGGTTCTCTCGACTACCTGGAGGCAATGCTGAAATCACTTTCGAAATTTCTCAAAAGTGATTTCTACATGGCTGCATGGAGGTCAGGCCAGCTGCTGCCAGTGGCTCAGCCTTGAAGTTGCTTTCATGACTGACTGTCTGACTAACTGTCTGACTGGCTCCCCCTCCATGCCACCCCTCTGTCTGCCCTCGCTTCGCCCCACCCATGCCGCCTCGTCACCAGGTGGTGCAGGACCTCTCAGCCACCTGGAAGCCTGCTGCCAGTGACTCTCTGCCCAACTCCTTCTGTGGTGGGTAGTAGTAGTGCTGCTGTTTTTTTGGAGTCGACCCAAAACCGCGGTAGTTACTAGGTACTAGTGCTGCTGTGCTGCCACTTCTTCTGCTGCGGTCACGGTTGTTGCTGCTGTTTGCCCTCCCCGTCTTCCCTTGTGCGCTCACTCTGCCATCTGGAAGCTTGCTGCCATGCCAGTGACGCTCTGCTCTGCTCAAGCCAGCCAGTCTTATCGCACTCACCCGAACCACGGCAAGGAGATCATTTGAACCAAACTGCTGCTCCCATTCCCTCTTCCCCTACCACCCCACTCGTGCTTGTCCCCCCCCACTCATGCCCTTCACTGTCCTCTACTCTGCCCTCAGGTGGCTGGGTCGGATACACGTCATATGACTTGGTGCGCTATGTGGAGTCGATGGGCCTGAACGGATTTGTTGTCTTTCTTCTTTCCTTCACACTCTTGTTGGTTGCCTCTCCTTCTTTGCTCCATCACACCAGGTGGCTGGGTGGGATACACCTCATAGGACTCGGTGCGCTATGTAGAGTCCAAGAAGCCTGAAGGGATCTGCTGTACCTCTCTCGTGTTGCTCCCCCTACCCACTCTGCTCGTGTTGTCCCCTCACTGTTCTCCGCTCCATCACACCAGGTGGCTGGGTGGGATACACCTCATAGGACTCGGTGCGCTATGTAGAGTCCAAGAAGCCTGAAGGGATCTGCTGTACCTCTCTCGTGTTGCTCCCCCTACCCACTCTGCTCGTGTTGTCCCCTCCCCTCACTGTTCTCCGCTCCATCACACCAGGTGGCTGGGTGGGTTACACCTCATACGACTCGGTGCGCTATGTGGAGTCCAAGAAGCTTAAGCATACTGCTGCTCCCATTCCTTCTTTCCCTACCTACCACCTCACTCGTGCCCATTATTGTCTGTCCTCTGCCGTATCCTCAGGTGGCTGGGTGGGGTACACGTCGTACGACTCGGTGCGCTATGTGGAGTCCAAGAAGCTTCCGTTCTCCTCTGCACCAATGGACGACCGCCACCTGCCAGACGTGCACCTGAGCCTCTACAACGATGTGGTGGTGTTCGACCATGTCACCAAGGTGTGGGATGCGGTGCTGTGCTGTATGGATTTGTTCCTGAGGCGCCTCAGACAGAAAGCCACCTGCCAGATGTGCACCTGAGCGTATGGAATTGTTCCTGAGAGGCTTGACACCAGTCTGGTCGGGTCTCTGGTGCTCTTCCCCACTTGTTCTTCCCCGGCGCCCACCTTTACCCCACTCCACCTCTTTCCACCCCTCACAGATAGTGCACGTGGTGTGCTGGGTGCATGTAGACGACTACCCCTCCGCCTCAGACGCCTTCTGGTCGGGCCTT